GTTGGCACGAAGCTGTTGGTGTGCAACTCCATGGTGTCCGTTGATCTATACCGCAGCGAAGTGTTGCGGATGAACCTGCGAGCTGTGATATACATCGAATGGTTCCATCATTAGTTTTTGCGGCGGATTTTGCGCATCTGTTGATGCGACAGATTTGCGAATACGGAAGTGTTGGGACAAAGTGGGGTGTATGCAGTGGACTGCATACTTGTACTAAGCCACCGGAGGTGGATCGGTCAGGTGAGCCGTATGGATTCGATGCGGATACCGAAACAATGCTTATTTGGTCAGTTGAGTATTAAAAGTTGAATGCACGGAAACCGAAGTGACGTTACTAGGACATGATCAAAGTGAGCCTCATACGTGCTTAGCATACTTGCAGGTCATGGGAATCCAAAGCAGTTGGTCGGCGTGCATGGCATGGTCTGATCACGAGGGCAGTTGCCGAGGTGCAAGATATACTCTCGTGCATGCAGAGAAGAAACGGCAATTGCCGAAGCTTCAGAAACCGATGGGTTGTACTGCATCGATAGCGAGTGCGTGGTGTCGTAGCACATGCGGTCGCATCTGCCTGAGTCAAGCAGGCCAAGTGAGCCATGAGCGAAACTACTTGTGGCCACCACTGAAGCGACGATGGGTCCTGCAGAAAACATGCGCAGAACCAGCGCAGCGTTCGTATGTACGTTGCATTCGATATACTAACAACGTGTTTGCATGATGAGTCTCTTTATTATAGGTGGCAGGTATGCAAATTTGTGCTACTGCTTTTCTTTCTCATATTAATGTCCAAATAATCAATCTTCTAGCAACTTTCACACGTCGCTTAAGCTAAGTGTATTTACCCTCAATAACCCTCTCGTCGTTATGGCATTTTCTTAAGCTATGGTTTCTGACGTATTGGACCCTTTACGAATTTCGCAATCAATTTATTCCATACGCTCACTTAGTGAACAGTTATATATCCTTATCTTTATGCATTATACGCTTCATTTTACCTGATTTGGTCTATTCGAGTGCTTGGTTGTTTTTGACCTCCCAGGTGTGGCTGCACTTGAACTACATGTTGACAAGGCGCGTCTTGTCTGATACCCACTACCGCGTCCATATTGACTGCTGGATTGATGGGATGGTTGCTGGATGGGACGGGGTGCACAATCCATGTGGCCGTGCTAGGATCAACGTGTGGTTCCATGTACTCTGTGCGGAGTGAACCACAGCCAAGCCACCATATCGCGTGTGATCGATTCCAAAATACAGCGTTCTTGTGACTGCCTGTGTAGGAGATAGGGTGGGCTCCGTTGATGGCACGTGGCTTTTATCAACATGGCTCCAAGGCTTAGTACTACGGGTGTACGTTGGATATGGTGGGTGTGGTTGGAGCGCTGGGTGGTGCGGCGCAAGCGCTACCTGGCCCATCCGTAGGCGCAGGTGTCCTGTGGCTGGCCACCACGACAAGGAAGCTTGAAACCGGATGCCACCAAACATATATTCAATGCGGCATGTTGTTAGCTACTGATAGGCTAAAGTCAGGCTAGAAGTACTGGGAATTTATATGAAGGGAAAAAGGACAAGTTCAAGCGGGACTGGAACGATAGGGATATCCCTTGAGTGTTCCTGCTTCAGCTGGCCGTTGGACCAGGGGTTGGCAGCCTTTGAAATACTGATGGACCTAACATTTAGACCGCATCACACCACGACCAACCAATTAACGCCCACGTATCCTGCCTCAGCAATCCCAGTTGGGCCGGTTACGTAACGTTAGCAACGGAATAAGTAAACTAAGTAGACATGAAGAGAAAAAGGTGAAGTGCTATGCAAATAGAATACCAAGGTCTTCGTGTCATGAAAGTAAAACTGACAAATGAAGCTGAGTCAGGCAAAAGGAAAGGCTTCGGGGTGGCCACCAAATGGCAGCGAGCTGGCGCGCAAAAAGCTAACCGTAGCGTTTCTAACCACATGAACTAGAAACCCAATCCAGCGATCTATAACCAGGTGCGACAGACTAGTTTCCATTCTACTCCTATAAGACATTGGTATATGCGGTTTCAGTGGGTGCTCGCGGAGATTAACTAAATTAGAGGAACTACGTACCCCTGACATTCCGCGCCCACCGTACCTGTCAAAACACGATGAGTTAGAATCCGGCCCCCACTTATCCTCTGGCAATGCAAGAAGTAATTTCAAACCAAGAAATCATTCTGGATACACCTGTCCCCGTAGCTCCTGCGATAGCCGTGTTCCCACAGTTAACATCATCTGGTCCATTTTGTCTCGCATAAGGCACGGTAAAAGGGCCTGGGCACATTGTTCCAAGGGAGATTGGGCGAGTGACGAGAATAGCGTAACCAACAAATTGGACGTTAGGACTCCAGCAGAGTGGCAGATAAACCATATTATAGGAAAACCCTTAAAAGCAGCTTTCTTCCAATAGACGCCAAAATGAAGTGCTGATGTGACGTAGACCACTAAATTAACCTGCTGAGTGACAACAGGAATTTTACCACCACCGTCAACCTATTGGGTGGGAGGAGTAGAAGCTCTAATTCGGAGAACAGAGCACTTGGCCATAAGTATGAGAATCAACCATAAGGCAGACCATTCCAAGAGACTAGCAATGGCACCCTGAATTGCCTCAAGAACCCAAATGATATACATAATATTCCAGAGCTTATGGTCGTCAGCAAACGCTAGGGATGATACTCCTAGCTCCCAAGGCAAATCAGTTCCATAGATCGTACTCAACAATGGCCCTAATACCGTGCCTTGCAGGACGCCACTAAGGACAGCAGGTCTGCGCGGAAACCTACGCCCAACCCGTATGCGCTGTTCTCTCCTTACAAGGAAAGCAGAAACTCTTAAGGGCGCGAACGGATATACCGCAAGGTCTCCACTTTAGAAAGAGTCGAGGATAAGGAACGGTGTCATATTTTCGATAAGTCCACAAATGATACGTCTTCAACGTGGTCACCGTCTACCGCTTCAGCCCAGCTTTCACAAGCTACACGTAGCTTAATCTGACACAAAAATCGCTTGCAGAATCCACGTTACGCAACGCTACGAAGGCTAAACCTATGCAGCTGGTACAGCACTGAATTTCTTATAAGCTTTTCAAACAGCTTAACTACTACACTTGTAAAATTAACGGGCCAGTAGTTTGAGGGCAGAGCGCTGTCACCATCCTAATAAATCTGACAGATTACTGCCGCCTTCCGTTTTGAAGGTAAGGCGCAGCTGTCAAGCGATATTGAGAGGAGCAATCAGCTCACGTGCAAATTATGCAACAGCTTCGGATGAACTTAAGCAGGGCTGGAAGTTTTAGAGGGATAAATTAATTGCCGTAGCACGAGAAGCGGAGGCTCCGTTATGTTAACATTAACTAAGCGAGTATCCGCTGGAACACTTGAAATCAATTCAACCAGTGGTACACAGACCCTCCGAGCAAAGATCCCAGTATTCTGACCACAAAAGTATACAAGCTTGTCATAGTCATTTTGCTCTCGGGTCCTGTCTGCGCGCAACAACGCTGGTATAGGGAGGTTTACTAGATGCGTCTTTTAACGAGAGCAAAATGCTTCTTGGTATTAGCTTCCACTGCGTCCGCTAAGCCCTGCTCGTACTGGAGACAGTCATGCGATGTTGCTTATATTTATTTCTAATCTCTCGATAAATGTCACAAGTACTATCACATGGAGCAGGTTGGTAATTTCACCAGCCAATAGACTGTTTCCTATGTAGGTACTTACCGGTGTTAGCTATCCATGGAGACTGCATTCGTAACCCCCTTTTCCTCATGAGTGGAATGTAGGAAGCGGAAACCTCCGATGGAGTGCCTGAAATTTATCCCAGGCTAACTGGACACAGTCGGCCTTTGTGATCTCAAAGTTCAGAACTGAAGCCATAGCTCGCATTGCACTGAAGTCAGCCCACCAACTATGCGGATTTAACTCAACGGCGAGCTGTTGATGCCTGGCAAGAACACAGAGGGAGGATATGCATGTATAATCGCTGGACCCTAGAAGTCTACTGTATGAAACCTCAGTCACGACGAACGCAAACGGACTTGGCGAAAACCAGATCCAAAGTAGACGGTATTTCTTTGTCCATATACCTAAAGGGAAGTCCACGAACAGGTGCAAAGGCACTTGGAAACTCAGCTCCAGAACTTCTGCAACGAATGTTCCTGATGCTGAATTGCAAGAATGATCGGTCCAACAGACTTTCGGGAGGTTGAGAGCCACTAGAGACACTTATTCTCGGAATGGGTAAAAATAAAGTCAAGCACTCCCTGAAAGACTTCCAGGACTCCTGTGTATCACTGCTGGTTAGAGGAAGCGAACGAAACAGCTGATAGGGCTTCAACAGTCTGATCCGACAACTGGAATGGACAGGTCCTCAACACATCTAAGGTACAGCTCACCTACATTACCACGCCTGCGCCTTATCCACCAACGTAGCGAACAGTTCTAAGGGCTGTGTCACTTGACTAAACACTCAATACAAACAAGCAATAATTAAACATTTACGGACGGAAAACTCTAAAGCTGATTTCTGTTGAGAAGCTATGTTTGCGATCCGGACGGCCCATCTGCTAGTACACAGTAGCTAGCTTTTACAACATGTAAGCAGACAGCAGTTTTGACCCTGAAAACAGTTTGATAAAGCTTAGGGTTGAAATATTCTGAGAAAATTAATGCATCCGTAGCAGTATGGTACGAACGACGTACAGTGAAAATCGCCCAATCTGGTTCTTCAAAAGCCTACTAACGAATAGGGTGCAATTACAAAAAGGAGCAATAGTTGAGGACAAAATACACTAAAACGAAACAAGTAAGGGAATAATATTGAAATGGATTCATGTTACGCATGTAAACTAATACATTCAAAAATAGAAATTGAAAAGCTGACGAGTATGTGCTTGCTTCCTTATTCATCTAAACAGATTTATGGATATACCAATGCAATTGTTCTCCATTTGTGCAGTCTAACGTCATTTAGGTGCAGATGTATCCCGCGACCCAACCAATTTTCCTTTTAGCGTATCGTGAGGCGGTCGGTATCTGCAGATTCCATTTCATGATTCCTCAAGTACAAGGCAAGACTTACTTTCCAATTAATCCATGGAGTTTGCAGACAAACATCACAAGATGTAACTCCCAAATCGATATAATATGCTTCGTACCCTTGCAGATTGATAACTGGAGATGTGAACGGGCGTCTGGAAGCCCTTTTCAGTCGTGTAAAGAAAGTTACGAAATCCGGAGCTTTTGATGTAAGGTGACTTTCTGGTTCAATTTGATCGATAGATGATGTTCTGCATCGGGAATTTTTTCGGAAACGACGCTTCGGATGTTGATAAAATTATTCGCGGTGACCTAGAAGGTTCGTTTTCTCAATTTTCTTCACTGTTAGTTCCAATCCCAACATATATTGTAACGCCCATAGATGCGCATTTCCGACGATACAGCGATGAAAAGGGCTCCGAAGTATCGCATAACTTAATCTTTTTGGGTAAGGCATTTTCTTAGCTCAACTCTAAGTACCGCAGGGTCCCAAGGCGTTTACACTACAGTGTCTGGTCTCAGAGTGGTGTACATATCTTCTTGTGAGGAACATCCTGACGACCCTAATGATCTATCCAATTCTGTTTCACCGCACTCACTGGTCGCAGAGGACGTTGGATTTCTTGGTGTGGATATTTTGCTCACCATTCAATGGCCCTCAGGAGTCAATAATTTCCTCACCTATACCCTCCCACAAGAATGCACTCCATGCGTTTTAACTAGCTCGAAGGCCATTTCAAAACTTGCTTACTTTCTGCGGCCGAGGTATCACTTTGCCAGTGGAAAGGGTTTTTACTTCGAGCGTTCACCTTATAGGTAAGTGTACACCCGTTGCCCATCGTAACTAATTCTGATAGTTCTAACGTACTTTCTTCTCTAGTTCTTTATTTTTGTTGTTCTATGACTTTTCGGTAGATGTTAGTGCCTCAACTATTCATGTTTCGTTCCTCGACCTTTCCTGTATTTATCGCTTTTTTGACGGGTTTACTTATGTATGTCCTGCTGCAACAAGCACTTTTCCCGACCGCTGTTCATCTTACGATTTTTTATCTGACTTAATGGTTGAATTAAGATTAGTGCAACAACTTGAATGAGTAGTCCGAGATTCGTTGTTATAATCTCGTCTGTATCGTTTTTCTCTCAGACATTAAATTTGCAGCTAAACATGCCAGCTTCTATGAACTTCCAACAGTTCATTCTGGTCCTCCCGTTAATTCATACGCCTCGGTTCACCAGGTCCAGTTCTTTTGACTCGTCGCCGAAATGTCACTAATGATACAATGTAAGAGGCGAGAACTGACGTTGTAAAATGCTAATATGAAAACTAACGAGAGCGACAGGGGGCGCTTTGTCTGCACCATACCCATTGATTACTGAATGAAAGCAGCAAGAAAAGAAGTTTCGTGTACATACATCTAAAGTCCCTCAGGTATACTGACCAATTGCGTTGGCCATCACTCGCCATGTTTCATATCGGCATACTGTCTAACAATTTTCTAGATTCTTACGCTGACTCTGCTTCGAATATGTGCGGCGGCAAGTTATTGCGTATATTCACCACTATTCGAAGCAGAGTTAGTGACTTTCGCACTTCACATGCAATACTCCAAGCTTGTTCCCGTGTCTCCTTGTGCTGCTCGGCGGCACCAGCAGTACGCCGGTACGCAGTACCGACGCGTTGATGCTGCGCATCCACCAACAGTCACGCGTGGGTTTAGCATGCTGCGTAGGTCGCCCAGTCCCTACTCAGGCTCTGACTAGCGCCTTCGGATTTTATGGCGCGCTTGTAATCCTCTAGGCTTCGGGCCGGCTGCTTCTCGGTGCGCGCTTATAAAGCAGCGGTAATCAGGGTGTAGCCTTGATCTCTTGCACTAATCTGTACTGCACACCACGTAAAGTGGAGGTGAGCCTGGTGTCGGCCGGTGGTCGAGTGGTCTGCACACCTGGCTTGCCATCATAGGGTCACCGGTTCGAATCCGCGTAAGGGTGGGCTTCCTCGCGTTATACACTGCCCACGCGCGATTGGTGGTAGTCGCGCGGCAGCGAAGCGCCGTTACGGCGTACAGCTGACACATTATTTATATTATTAGATGAGCCTGATGGCCACATGATGTATTTTCTTAATTCTCTGTACATCGTCCCGGATGAGCACGTGGGCTATACTCTAGCACTGGTCAGATTGAAACGAGGCGGAGAGTGGCAATTTCTTCGGACCAAGTGCTGAAGCTGCGTTTGAGCGCCCATAGCATACGGCCTGTTTTGGTAAGGTTTATTTGTGTTGTCCACGGACTTCAGGTCTTTCACGAAACCCCTTGGGATGCAACAGTTGACCGGCCGTAGTGTGTGCTCGACGGTGTCGACACCTAGACTCATGAATAGCGACTGGACCGGGTTCATCAGGAGGTTGACCTCTGCAGACCACATGGAAAGGTAGTCATGGTCACGCTGAAGCAACTCGGTTATCAGGCGCATTGATCGCTCTCCACACTTTCAAGTCATCTGCAAATAACGTACAAGGCGAACAGAGGAGCTTGGGCATATCGTTTTTATTTATATGGAACAAAATGGGCCCCCAGTACAGTGCTTTGGGGCACGTCACTGGTCGAAGGATACCAGTCGGTCTGATAGTTGTCGATCTGGACCCTCCACTTTTTACTAACTATGAGCTTCACCATCAATTGGTACATCGAGCCACCACCTGCACAATTGAAGCCTGTGGAGAAGGACCTCATGATTCGCCTTGTCAAACGTCTTCCCGAAGTCAATGTAAATGGCGTTGACCGACTTCCCCTGGTTCAGCATTTGCAACCATATATGCCTCATCACCAGCAGCTTAATGATGCTTGAGCAACCTCAGGAAACTATGTTATACAATCCTCAAGAGGCTTTTTGACTCGAGAAATCGTAGAAGACCCTTTTAGACGATCTTAAGTGTTTTAGCCAACACAGCGGTCATGCAGATCGGCCAGTAGTTGCCCACTTTGCTCGGGTCACCGCCTTTCTGTATCGGCTTTACGACTGAACACTTCTAGTTGCTCGGTAATACATTTCTGGACAGCTTCCTGTTGAACATCTCAACCACGGAAGATGAGATGATAGTCGATAATGACTTGTGGATCAGTGGTTTGATTCCATCAGCCCTGGCAGGTTTGCTTCTGTTAAGACCGGCCAGCAAGTTGCATACATGTTCAGTACTACAATCCAAGTTGTCAAGTTCGCCTGGGTTGGTACCCGTCGAATTCGGCACAGATCTATTTGTTCGCAAATACAGAATCGAAGTGCGCCGCCAATGCAGACACACGATCCGCCCTCGAGGTTACGGGCTTTCCATCTGAACCCTTTAACACTAGCACACTGCCTGCATGCCTCAGGCATCACTTCACAGGCAAATATCCTCTTAGAACCGTTTCCGTTGCGGCCACTTTTGTGTTTTAGCGTTGTTTCAGAGATTTCGCTGTCTTGCAAACCTGGTGGTTTTCGTCCGGTTATCCATGAGGCGATGAAAACAATTCGAAGTCAACTCTTCCTTTTGACGAATGAAGGAAGGAGGAAACAGCTGATGCAATCTACAAAGCCTGCTTCTACCTATGGCAAGCAGGGTTAAAACTTGGCACGCCACCATAAACATAGCGTAGCAATTCGTCGCTACGACCTAAACTCCCTGGTGTCCCTGCATATGGATGGCTAAAACCACCAATTCCATCCGGAGCACGCCAAAACCATCTGGGCGCAAAACCTCGGCAAGTGTGTGAGTTTATTGAGGTTTGGCGTTTTTACGCTTCACTCGAGCACTAGGCTCTTGGATTTCGAAATCGCTTGCGAGATTTTGCTAATCAAGCACTTGAAGACACACTGATGATGCTGCACTGCCTGGCAGCAAAACGTCTGCAAACTAATTGTTCTGCTCGCAGACCAATGCAAAATCAACATATAGTCTTGTTGGTTCGCTTCATAATGTCCGTTACAGTGGCTAGGATTTCTGCGATTTTTCTAGAGCTCTGGTTATTCGATAAGGAGCGTTGTGAACACTAGCTTCCTTGTGAACAACCAAAGCGAACGAGGAGTTTATGGATGGAAGGGATAAGCATTCGATTCAGCTTCAGTCTTGAAACCTGAATTTTCTACCATAAACTGAAAATAGGCTGAACGGATCCATCGCATCATTACTGAAACGAAGGAAGTGGGGACTTGAGCACTTCGATTACTAACGAACAAGGAATCCCAGACGAGTTGACGCTACTGGAACCGAACCATTCCCTTTGCTCCGACGATATTAGCTTCTCGTTCATGGATGCTATTTACAAATTACGGGTTTTTTGCTCTACCTACTCTGTTCATCATCAAGTGAGCAACGAGCGTGTTCGACGCCTTGTTTATGGCACAGGAAAAGTAACTGAACCGTTCAGCACCGTTATTTCACGTACCAGGCTCCGATGGCTCGGCCACGTGATACGCATGCCAGCCCACCGAGTCCCGCGACATGTGTTGTTTGCGCGCCGGGGGTGCGGATGGAAGAAGAGGAGGGGTGGCCAACCGACGACTTGGTCGAGAGGAATGAAGGCCCTCACTTCTGAGCTGGCCTCGGTTGGAACGTCTCGGCTCCCTGGTTGGGGTCCGAAAGACGAACACGTTTGGTTGGACACTTGCTGCTATGGCTAGGAGCCGACCTCAGTGGCGTTCGTGCTGTGAGTTTCTTTGTCCCACCCCATCCCTCTTAGCCTCCCCCTCCAACCACGATCTCATTATTTAGTCTTACATAATTTTGCATAGTAATTTTTTCTTGATGCACAGAGGCCGGCTGGTAGCTTACCGGAACGATGCCCATCCGTTACCGGTAGCACAGCCAGCTGGCACCAGTTGCATTTTTTTCTTTTTTCTATGTATTGCGGCACAGTAGCTGAGGTGTTTCCCACCTCTAGCTAACGTGTATGATGACGATGCTGATGATGATGTTCATCATCAAACATTACTTCGATATGATATCTTTGCGGTGGTATTTGTCCATCCTCGTCGTCATATTTCTAGTAGTCGAACCACTTGCCAAAATCACTTACGCGTCGGGCTTCGTACTTTTGTCTCCCACGGTCTCCAGCTCTCATACTGCGTTGGATCACTGATCTCCGTGAGATGTGAGTTATAGGAGGCGGGGTTGGCGCGCGCATGTGGTCACGTTGACTAAATATTTGCGCTCATCAGACACTAGCGCGGCGTAATGCGCACGGGGAATCCAACCTATTTGCCTATTTGGGTGTCTTCGTCGAGTACCTATTAATCACCCGCTTCGCATATTATATTTTGCGGACCTTGCACTTTTTGCATAGGCTTTGTCAGCCTACATCGTTGCAATAGTGTGGTGGAATCGGGCGAATCACCTTACTGGGCACATACTCTGTTTCCGTGGTTAGTTACATCACTAGTTGTGACCATCCAACTCAGCACAGTTGCAATGTCAGGGCATTGTTCCGTTTGATGTATCGCCTTTTTCCAATAATGCGCATACCACTGGACAACAGATTTCTACAAAAGTTGTCACCGAAAAAACCAGTTATTTTCAATGTTTTGTGTGCTAAACACAAACATGACAGTGGAAATGCATAATTGACTCGTTTATGCAACAATAACTTTTCACCACCAAATGCATGGCAGTAGTCTTCGTATAATAAGATTAATACATCTAAATAAGGAACTCACGAATGATCAGTTGTCCTTTGTTCAGTTGTTCGGGAGCACCTCTGGCTATTGTTCAGCAGTAGTCAATCATCATGATAACGGACCATTTCCCTGGTAATGTTTCCATGTTGAGATATCTTGACGAAAACGTTCGCCAATTTCACCATTAAGCATACCGCAGTTGTCAAGGAAACAATCCATTGACATATTGCTGTCAAATTTCCGATGCTTCAGCATGTCTTCTGCTAATTCATCATAGTTCTGTGCCATAATATTCCCGAGGAAGTTGGTGGACGCAAGCCAAAAGCATTCCAAGCTTGTTTCACATCACTCTGCAGCAAGTTGTTGCGGTTGTCATCTTTGAATAGCTATCGAATCTGAGGACCACAAAACTCTAATCTTTGCTTCACTTAATTGAGTAACTTTTTCATGCAGGTATCGGAACGTTGGTGAAGTCCGGTTCATAGTTTTCCCGCAATTATGCGTCATACCTAGTTTGATATGTATGGGTGGTAGCAGGATTCCACAGTTGGGTGATGGATATTTTTCTCTCCAACCGTTAAAATTTGTCTGCAAGTCCATTCCTTCAAAGATTGCAAATCCCTTTTCGAGCTACCCCACCCGCACAAGAAGCAGCAGTATTTTTTAAAAATTCTAGCTGCCATCTCATTAAAAACCAAATACGGTTAAATTACCAGAGATGCCAGCTGTATCTGTTATAATCAGTAGTGTGCAATTGCTTCCTTCTGCGTCTCGTATGAACAGCCTGCGCTGCTGGAATAGATGCGAGATGATTTCCGTTGTGCATCAGCACTCTTAAGTGTACGTTTGGAAATCTACAAATGGTCTCCATTCTTGCGAGTCGTGAGTTAGTTCTAAGGCATTCACGAGGCATTCAATATCGGAACAGGATACCATTCTAAAAAAGCTCCAATTTCTCGTGATGCTTTCGATATGAAGTATTTATGACATCCAATAAATTCGCTTGTTAGAGTCTTGAACCTAACAATTTCATTTAGTTGTCATTACAAGGCTCTAGTGTTCCGTTTGCAATTGAAGGAATAAAAAATAAATTTAATGAACTTTTTGTAATATTAGTACAAACTGCTGTATCCAACGAAATTTAAATTATTTCAAATGCTCCACGTTACCCATTGGGCTTTATATAGTACACTGCTCACGTCAGCTTCGCCAGCTTTCTGGCAGTAGTCCTGCGCTGCATCAGAAAAGTATGCCAGAACCTCTGTGTAGTGTACGCCTGATGGTATCCTGAAACATGCTGTAACATTGCATCCTATTTGACCTATTCAGGATGTTGTTATAATCGTATCAGCTAAATCTAAATAGTGAAAATGGTGAAACAGATCTCTCTACAACACGAGAGCTAATAAAGATTTTTCATAGTTATATTCTTTAGCACACCAAATTACTACAGATTACGACCAGTATTTGAAATAAATGAGAATATGCGTATCTCGGGGTGTGGATGCGGATTTTGGGCGGTTCTCCGAGCTGACTGATTATTGTGCAGACGTTTCGTTGCCTGACTAGGCAACATCATCAGTGCGGTTTCAGGGGCCTGGTTCGCAGTGCCTCGTAAGCGACTTCAATGTCCAAGTGCTTATTGATCGAGTTGTGCTTTGAATGCCAGGCTTCCATGAACTCACGTGCTTGCCGGCTTTTAGCCCTTCCGAGGATACTGGTATGCTCTATGTCGAATTGATGGTTCTCAGCATCCATGTGCACTGACATCAGGGAGTTCTGATCGTGGCGACGTATGGCTAGGCTGTGTTCGTGTAGCCTTATGCCAAGCGTTCTCCCAGTCTGTCCCACGTAGTACTTGTCGCAGTTCCGACAGCAGATCTTATAAATCACACTAGTTTCTTCTTCTTTGCTAAGTTTATCTTTCACCTTGAAGAGTTTGCTGCGAATGGTTTCCGTTGGCTGGTGTGCAACTTTGACTCCAAAAGGCAATAAAAGCCTCGCTGCCATTTCAGAGATACCATTGATATAGGGAAGTGTTGTTCTCTTTTCAGCTGGTACATTTGTCGAGGTGTGTTGAGTAACCTTTTGTGATGCGAGGCAGCGTAGAATGAAGCCTTTTGAGTACGAGTTCCGCTTGAACAGGCTGAAAAGATGATCTTCCTCTGCCCGTCTCAGCTGCGGTGTGCTACAGTGGGTTTGTGCTCTTTTGAAAAGGGTTTGCACGCAGCTGCGTTTGTGGGCTGCTGGATGATTGCTGCCGTAGTTGAGGATCTGGTCCGTATGCGTAGATTTTCGGTAGACTGTTGTTTCCAATCGTCCAGCACCAGTCCGTCGTATGACAACGTCTAAGAATGGTAACTGTTCTTTGTTCTCCTCTTCCCTGGTGAATTGGATGCCATCGAACACAGTGTTGATTAGTTCGTGTGTTTCCTCCAATTTGGAACGTTTGAGGATGACGAAGGTGTCGTTTACGTATCGTACCCAAAGTTTTGGTCTCGCGATCGGAAGTGCTATTTGTTCCAGCGCCTGCATCACTGCCTCGGCTATTAGACCAGAGATCGGCGATCCCATTGGTGTGCCTCTTATCTGTTCGTAATTTGGCCATTGAAAGTAAAATGTTTTGTTAGACAGAATTCCAATAACTCCATCATCTGTTTGGGTTCGGGTCCACTGTTTGTATCAGACGACGTGTGCTCCTCTAGCAGGCGCGTCATTGTTTCGCCAAGCCAATGTCGATTGAAGTGAACAGGGCGGTAACATCGAAAGTGACCATCATTTCGTCTCGTTCAATGGTTGCGGTTTTAAGTTTGTCAAGGAACTGTTCTGCCGAGTTGATCGAGTGTTCCGATCGCGCGATTAAGTGTTTTAGCCTTCTCCAGAGCTCCTTTGCAAGCCTGTAATTTGGTGCTCCAGGTAACGACACGATGGGGCGAAGCGGCACTCCGCTTTTGTGTACTTCAGGTAAGCCATAGAACCGCGGTAGCACCGAGTCTTGTGGTCGCATCCTCTTGTGTTCCAATTTTGTGATTTTCCCCATTTGTTCCAGCTTCTGCAGAGTGCGTCTGATGTTGCCTTCTAAGCGTTTTGTCGGGTCTTCGTTTATCGGCTGGTATGTGTTGGTATCACTGAGTAGGTGTTGTGCTTTCATCATGTAATCCGATTTGTCCATTATAACAGTAAGGCGTCCTTTGTCGGCCGGCAGTATAACTATGCTCTTGTCTTTCTTGAGGTTCTCCAAAGCTTTCCGTTCAGCGTTGTTGAATATGTTGGTTTCAGCTTTATGACTTAGAGCCGGGATGATTCTGTGTCTGATCATTTGTTGTGCTTCAGGCGCGATGTTGTACGATTTTAGGGTCGATTCAAGTGCAGCGAGAAAGTCGATGAGATTGGAGTCCTTAATATTGAGTTGCATACCTCGGACAATGACTGCTTTTTCCGCGTCCGTTAATCCTCTTTTGGATATGTTTGCAATCCAACCATCGTCTTCCTTAGGTGGTTTCTTTGGCGAGATCGAATTCAGCTTCTCTTCAAGCTTCCGTTTGGTGTTTATCTTTGTCTTGTGTGTTTTGACGGCTATTGCTTTTTCCAATTCTTCCGTCAATTGTGATCCTAGTCTGGATAAACAAATTGCTTTCTGTTCGTTAATCACCATTTGGTATTTATGCTTTCGACTGTGTGTGCGAACCAGGCTCCTGAAACCGCACTGATGGTGTTGCCTAGTCAGGCAACGAAACGTCTGCACAATAATCAGTCAGCTCGGAGAACCGCCCAAAATACGACCAGTATATTTAGGGAGTACTCCTTCATTTTTGTGTGGAATTTTTATTTGACTGCTTGTTTTTTTGCTCCATTTCCTCCGCCGTTTTAAGCTATTATTGCTGGAACGTGTTTCATGCTACCCAGGTTATTCTCACTTCGGGATCTCGTCATTCCCTCGCTGCTGGACTCTGACTTCCCCATTGATTAGTCCCACAATATCTGTGCTATGACACCAACTGACTTACCGTTGTTGTGGTTTCACTCTTCGTTCTTCAGTTATTAGTTAGTTTCCCCTTCAGCAGAGATCCTGTTGTCGCTCGTTGTCGCTCATCACCTTACTTATACGAGGACTGTCCTCAGTACCTTAAAGTCCCAAAAACACCTGTGATCCTCATTGTTTCGGGTCAGTATATAAAGGAAGCAGGGTATCATTCTCTGCTTCTTACTGAGGGTTTTATTGTCAGTTGATTCTTCCAGCTTATATTAAGACCGTTCTCACTCAAGTCCCCTTGTTTCTAGAATTCTATCAGGTTTAACATGTAGGACAGCTCGGATCATGAAGCTCTACTTTATCTCTCATTTTCCATATTTCTCACCGGTTATCTTCACAATTTGTCAACGTTAGCACTTCCGCCTTAGCCGTCATTCATTTTCTAGGAATCACCGGGTTTTACAAGAAAAGGCCAACCACGTAACTCGTTTCATTTCTTTGGCTAATGTGAAAAATCCACAGAATCACAAGGTAATCTGATTTCCTTATATCCGTTTAACGTCTCTTAACCGTCGTATTTTAGTATATGTATGCTTTAAAACTTCTCCCAATCGACAAAATGGATCTTGTGGACTTGAACTGTCAACCACCAGATACAACCGAGAATCCCTATCGGGACATTGCAGAGTCCAAGTGTACGTTACCTGGTAAGGAAACGGTGAGTGCTTTCCATGTTATCCTTACCTCCATTCAAGTGGTTATTTAATGCTTGCTGTTATATTGGTTCAACTAAACAGCGGTTTAATTACACTTACAGTGGTGTCCTCTATAATCCGTCTGTGTGCCATTGAAGTGGAAATTGCGTGCTCTACTTTATACCACTCACCATACTTGGTCCTCTACACCACTACCTTTAAGAATCATCTGCGTGTAGGAGCGAATAGACGCTTGTTGCTATGCCACAGTAAGAGGACTCTGAATCTTACCGTTGTAGCTTGTCGTGTGCGACCGAGTGGCGATCAGCTAAATCGCGATATTTTATGGTCTCATATTTGTTATGCGAACTGGTCCACCATCTACCTCGGTGTGTACTGCAATTTGGCAGACCACATGGGGAATTGTCAGCAATGTGCAAACATGCTAAGAAAGCATTTTCGTCTGACCTCTTCATGATGCCTTTCCGAATAACAGTTCTGGGGTTGACTGCCTCGATTTTACACCCCATCTCCTTCTACTTTGATCACTCTGTCTTATACTTTGATAGTTCTTCCACCTGTTTATTCTGGTGTTCTCCAGTTACCCTTGTTTTGTGGAACGATCTGGCAATAACACTTTGAGGATGTTTTGTATGTGCTATCAAGTTTACAAACCTCTTTTTAGTGAAGCTTAGCCTGTGACCCACTTGACTTTATGAAACTATTCAATCTAAGCGAGTTGGTCTAATTCGCGCCACATGGTTTCGTAATCGGATTATCGTGCGTGTTCTCAATACCATTAGTGGGCAGATGCAGTCGTGAGGCCGACACATTTTGGGATTTAATTCTCAATTCCTCTAGCTCACTATTTTACTCGCTTGGGTCATGGTAGCGTTCCGTGTCTAAAACAGTCGGTTACTGAATCTTCGAGATCTTGCACTCGTACTTTCACCCAAATATGTGAATCATTGTTATTTGCTTTGTCCTTTCTTACTATCAACCGTGGCGTATCCCCCATACGTAACCATGAACCGTTACAAGCATCAGCGTTCCTGTAGCCTAACTGTAAGGTGTTGCTGGTGTACTACTGCGTAAGTATGTAACATCTTGGTGAATCATGGCTTAATTAATCAGTGCCACAAGTGGCTGACCGTTCACTTCCTATCGTTGAACATCATACCCCATGCTCCTGCTTTGTGGGTTTTCTCCCTTGCGAACCTCTGTCCGACAGCTCCATACCATAACACCTATCAGTGGAGAGAAATAAGGTGGTATTGTGGTGGATTGAAGGTAGATACTACTGAAACGGAAATAAGTAGTGTGATGCAAGCTGACACACCAACAGCGAGCCTTGCCGACTTCCCCAAAGTTGAAGATGACCTCAGGATTCCAGTTCCATATGCACGAGGAGTAAACACAGAGACGAGCACCAGTTGGGAAACACTCTATGGAAATCACGCGGATGAGCGGATCCCTCCAAAGTAACTGTATGGAAATCACGCAGATGAGCGGACGCATCCAATGTATGAACGAACACACCTAGTATAAGCCACTTTAGTAATAAACAATTACCGCCTGCCACTTGGGTTCTAACATTTGGTGCCGTGACCTCAAAACCCATGAAGATCCCCTGGCCGGAGCCATTTGAAGACGGGGATGTGAAGGTGTTTTTGGAGGATTTTGAGGAGGTGGCAGATGCGGTAGGACTGAAGACGGACCGGGCGAAGATGGCGGCCCTACGGAGTCTCCTCAAGGGCAGGGCGAAGGCGGTTCTGGAGGCGGCGCGAAGAGGTCCGGTCAAGTTGGAGTGGACCGCCGCGAAGGAAGCGTTACTCTCTGGCCTGGACACGCCAGCGGACCGCCAGGAGGCGATGCGACGGTTCAAGGCGTCGCGGCTTGGTGCGGGGACGGATCCCCTCGTGTTTGCGGTGCACCTCAGGAGCTTGTTGGACCGCGCCTTGCCGGGGTTGGATGGGCCGTCAAGGACGCAGTTGCTGGTGGATAAGTTTTTGGCCGGCCTCCCCCAGCCAACCGCGGAGCGCGTTCGGATTGCAAATGCCACTCGGAAGATGCAATTGGAGGAGCTGGCGCAAGTTACTCGAGACCTAGGCGACGCACCACTAGCTGCGCTGAAGGAAGAGCCACGTGAAAATGTGGAACGGATGGAAAAATTGGAACGGATGATGGAGCAGCTTACGGAAGACATCAATGGGCTTCGCGTTCAGCGTTATCGGGTGCGCACAAAGGTATGTTGCTTCATCTGCGGTAAACCGGGGCACTGGAAGAGACAATGTCCGCAGAGGCGTGGTGTTACTCGGGAGTCGAATAAGCGTGTGCAACCTTATTTTTCTTTGCGAATCAAAGATTGTGTACTTGGGGCGTTGAGCAGGAGTGCGGTTGAAGCAATGGTGGAAGTAGACGGAACGATGGAAAGGTGTCTGATCGATACGGGTGCCGCGGTGTCACTAATCAACCATCGACAAGGTGAAAAGCTGCAGTCGTGCTGCACGATCGTAAGAGCGGTTGGCGGTCATTCAGTGGGAATTGATGGTATAGCCGAACACACTTTTTTTTTTTTTTTTTTTTTTTTTTTTTTTTCCTTTCTCGTTTCACCAGATGCGAAACAAACCATATTGGGAGCAGATTTCCTGGAGCTCAATAAAGCTGTCATTGATCTAAAGCGTGGGAAGTTGCTAATGAAATGCGGGTCACTACCACTTATTAATCGTGGAGAAATGCGATCTTCGCAGTCGGTCGTTGCTGTGTTACATTTGAGCCCATCATTGCAGTCGCTGATTAACAAATACCAACCCTTGTTTACGGATGACAGCAGTCAATATGGGTTTTGCGATTGGATCGAGCATACCATCCCGCTAACTCGCCAACCGTATCGGCCCCATGGACCTCGAAGGATACCAATCCACCTGGAGGCTGAAGTGAATAGGCAAGTGCAAGAAATGCTGGACGCGGGCGTGATTGAGGAGGCACACAGCCCGTACAACTCTCCTGTGGTCTTAGTGAAGAAGCCGAATGGGAAGTACCGATTCTGTGTCGACTTCCGAAGACTGAATGAAATTTCCTTGACTCGCTTCGTTCCAGTTCCATCAGTTGCTGATATTTTTGATCGGCTGCAGCAGTCGAGGATATTCACGGTCCTGGACTTGAGATCAGGATACTGGCAACTGGCAATAAAACAGGAAGATCGAGAGAAGACGGCGTTTACCGTTGGTGAGAAACAGTATCAGTTTAAGAGGATGCCCTTTGGATTATCAGGAGCCCCGTTTACCTTCCGACGTCTCATGCTGCGATTGCTGAGTGAATTGGAAAACGTGGTGGTGTACGGGGATGATATCGTGGTGTATAGCCAATCAGAAGCGGAACATATCCATCATCTCGCGGCAGTTCTGGAACGCATTCAGCAGTCGGGACTTCGTATAAATGGACCAAAGTCCCAGATCGGAAAGACCTGTGTCACCTTACTGGGTCATAAAGTGGGACAAGGCGAACTGAAACCGCTACCTGAGAAGATAATGACGATACAAGGCAGCCCACTTCCCACCTCAAAACGCACTCTCCGTACATTCCTGGGCCGCGCCGGGTACTACAGCAAATTCGTCAAGGATTTTAACACATTGGCCTTACCCTTGTACGAGCTGTTGAAACAAGATAGGAAATTCACGTGGAATGCAGAAGCTCAACGAGCCTTTGATCAGATTCTACAGGAAATGGGAAGGCAGGAGTTGACCCTGAAATTGCCCATCGCTGGTGAGATGTTCACGGTAGCCACTGACGCCAGCGATGTCGGGATCGGTGCGGTGTTGAAACAAAACCATGGGACGATCGAATATGCCGGCCGAACTTTGACGCCTGCGGAACGCAGATACTCAACCATAGAGAAAGAATGTCTCGCAATTGTCTGGGCGTTAGATAAATGGCGACCATATCTCCTGGGTCAGCAATTTCACGTCGAAACAGACCATAGACCGTTAGAGTGGATTAAGTCTGCCAAAGACCCCAGAGGAAAACTGGCGAGATGGGCATTGCGCTTACAAGAGTATGATTTCACGATAAAACACGTGCCGGGGAGGGAAAATCAGACGGCGGATTTTTTGTCACGCATGATAGATGAGGATGACTTGCCGAACGTAGCTTTCGGTATTAACGGTATACTGTGCGAGCAGGATCCAGAACGGTTGGCAACCGAGCAACGTAGCGACAAACTCCTACGCAAGTTGATCACCGTGCGATTAACTGGTCAGACAAACTTCAACAAAAACCAACTCAAGCAGCTGGGACCGTTTGCAAAAGACCTGGGAAAGCTGCAAGTGAACGAAGCAGGGATCTTAATGTGGATGCCAGGAGGTAGCAACCCTTCGGTGCCAGTCATTCCAATGAAACGAAGACGGAATCTGGTAGTTTCTTGTCACGAGATGGCGCACACAGGTTGTTCCAGGACCTATGATCTGCTGAAACAACGCGCGTATTGGCCGGGAATGAAAATGGACGTTGAGAAGTGCGTACTTTCGTGCCGACAATGTCAGCTCATGAAAACGGATTGCCGAGGGATGCAGCAGCAAACGATGACGATCCCGGTCTCGGAAATTGGTGAACTTTGGTCGGTCGACGTGATGGGGCCGTTTCCATTGACCAGGCGTGGTAACCAGTACCTTTTATTGATGACGGAGCACTTCACGCGATGGATTGAGGCGACAGGCATCCCGGATCAACGGGCTAGCACCGTTACCCATGCTGTCATGAATCACTTGGTAGCGGCTCACGGAATCCCAAAGGCCATCTTAACAGATCAAGGGCCGTGCTTCGAGAGTGAGGAATTCCGGAACTGTTTGGAGAAACTTGGCATCAAGAAATTGCGCACCACCCCATACCACCCGCAAACAAATGGCCTGACGGAACGTAACAATAGAACAATCAAGGAGTGGCTAGCAGCAAAAGGTGGAGACTGGGAGGAAGCGCTGCCGCTACTGTTGCTGACCCATCGAGCAACCAAACAGGCGTCCACAAAGAAATCACCATTCCAGTTGATGTACGGTCGACAACCTCGTCTACCTGTGGACCTAGAGATTGGAATGTGGCCAGCTTGCCGTATATCTCCCGAGGAGAGACGTAATAACCGAAAGACCGCCAACCGCAACCTACAGGCGACTCAGGCGCTGAGGATGGCGAAGTTCCAGACCAGCAAAGGTGGAAGGAATATCGAGTTTCAGATTGGTTCGAAAGTGAAGTACAGGGACCATCAACGCTATCCCACTTGCGGCCCAGGGGAGAGGAAACTCCTAGCGAAGTGGAAAGGACCGTACGAGGTAATCGACCGGCGAGGCCCAGTGTATACAATCGCTCGGCAAGGTGAATCGCGGAGGGTGAATGCCAGCGAGCTGAGGAAGTGGTACGAATTGGAGGAGGAAACACGCTCGTACAGTGAACATCCCCGGCGGTCAGAAAGACTCCGACGGAAGGCAGCTGACGCGAATCCTTTGGAGGGGGAGGAGTGTGGTGGATTGAAGGTAGATACTACTGAAACGGAAATAAGTAGTGTGATGCAAGCTGACACACCAACAGCGAGCCTTGCCGACTTCCCCAAAGTTGAAGATGACCTCAGGATTCCAGTTCCATGTGCACGAGGAGTAAACACAGAGACGAGCACCAGTTGGGAAACACTCTATGGAAATCACGCGGATGAGCGGATCCCTCCAAAGTAACTGTATGGAAATCACGCAGATGAGCGGACGCATCCAATGTATGAACGAACACACCTAGTATAAGCCACTTTAGTAATAAACAATTACCGCCTGCCACTTGGGTTCTAACAGTATTAACGGCACTCCGATAGTAATAGTAATATAAGCAGCAGTCTGTTGAATATACAAAGCCAAACAAAAACATGGCAATCACTGGAAAAACATAGGTTTAACACTGCATCATCATCACTTACATTAGCTGATGCTGAGCAACACAATTCAGGTACTGTGCCGCAATATAATCGAAAACACTGCACTTTTTATTTTGCACACGATATTTTCCCTTTTTTCCTCTTTTTAAATCATTACTCTTTAAGCATCTAAAACGAACCAATTATATGCACAGATTCTACACTGGTTTTGATTGCGCGCCATATCCTGAGTTGTATCCAGCAATCGGCACACTTTGTCCTTTGGTCCCCAACCAGGCAGACGTGTGGATCCAACGGCAGCAAGACGGGAATTCAACGATTTCATATGCTGACGCCAAGTGGACTGCTGACCGCCGCGTGGTCTCTTCCAGCCAAGCCCTGCACAAGCGAATAGGGCGCGGTGGGGCAAGCGCTCAGCTGACGTACGCAGGACTTGACCGAGCCATGTTAACTGACGCAGTTTGTTGAGGTGAATACTCACATTCCGTAAGACACAACGTCTGGTTTCACTGTTGCAAATACGTTGTTGCCACCATACACGAGCAATCCATCTCAAGCACCTATTGTCGAAGGTCGAGCGCCAGCGCATGTCATCTACTCGAACTGGCCATGACTTGTTTTCATATAGCAACGCCCGAACAATGACATTGTAAACACGACGCTTTGCCACGAGGGAGACGTCCCAAAAACGCCACAAGTGTTTCAGGTTGCCAAACGGTGACCGAGCTTTGGCGATGCGGAGGGAAACTTCCTTCTCAGTATTGTCATTAGCAGGCGCGCAGCTGCCCAGGTAGACAAAGCTATCCATTTGTTCAAGCTGTGGGCACGGGAATGGATGAGTTCCAATTCTGGAGCAGCATTTTACACTTCCATGGGGCAAAGCACATTCCGTACCTAGATGCCTCAATCGGCCAGCGGTCTAGAATGATTTGCATGTTTTATGAGTCGTCATGAAGCAAGGCGATATCATCGGCATAAGCTAAGTCGGTCGGTCGCTTGTCCGGTTGTTGCTATGGACCAAAATTTTGGTAACCGTCTAGAGCTTTCGACAAAACATCTTTAGTCGCAAAATTGAGGAGGAACAGGGATATAGGACAACCTTGTACACCGCTGTTGACAGCGAAGGACGACGAAAATCTGCCATAGCCCTTCACTCTGCCTTGCATGTGGAGGTATGGTGCGCGTAGGATGGCAGTGTACCTTTTTGGGACCCCGTTCTTTATTAAGCAACGCCATACCTCAGGTCTGTCAACCGAGTCGAATGCGGCGCGGATGTCTAGGAATGCAACGATGGTAGCTCTCTTGTAAAGGTGGCTGTGTTCCAGGATTTCGCGGAACGTGATTCCTAGATCCACATACCAGTGGCCAGGTCGGAAGCCAGTTTGTTCGTCGCGGCACTGTGATTCACGAATGGGAGATAGTCTACGGAGTAGTATGGGTGCCAGTTGCTTGGAGGCAACCAAAGTGTGACTAATCCCCTAACTCTTCTTAAAAATCGGGACAATAATTGACTCGCCTCAGCAAAAAGCACCTTTTCTTCATACCATCTTTCGGAGAACAACGAAGTTTGCTGGTTAACGATAACTGCGCCTCCCTACTTGGACAGCTCCGAAGGAAGTCCATCTGACCCGGCAGTCTTGAATCGTTTCAAGTGTCGGATCGCAAAAGAAACTTCCGCTTCGCTCGGTGGATCAAGGGTGGCGACCCAGAGCGGGCAGCTGCGTTCACAGGTGGACGGTGAGGGCCAATTCAACTCTGAATGAAAATCTTCGGCCCATCAGCACTCCGGTGCGATACACCTACGCTTCGCTGCCACGCAGTCCCCGACAGTCGCGCGTGGGCTAACGACACTTCTACGTCGCCCACGCCCACGCAAATCGGAACCGGTCACGGCGTTACAAGGCAGACGCCTCGTCATTTCGGTCACAGGCCGACATAGCAATGAGCTTCGTATAGCATTTTTCGATTGCTTGCAAACCAGGTCTCGATGTATCAATGACGAATCAGTGGATGTCTACTAGGGGGTTTTCAAAAAGAAAGAAAATCATCAGAAGTACGCTGGTACGCAGTACCGACGCTTCGCTGCCATGCAACCATTATCGGTCGCAAGTGGTCTAAGATGCTGCGAGTCTTCCTGCTCCTACGCAGGCTCGAACCCGCGCCGCTAGATTACAAGACGAGCACGTTATCTTTAGACTACGGGCCGGCTCGTTTAAACTACTATCATATTCTTGCTGTTCAGCATCGACACAGTGGTGTTTACTTTTATCGAATTTTGTTCTTTACACTGGACCTGGGAGTTGCTGAGGATATGTCCCAACCTTCCTTTTGCCCATTCGGGTCCTTTAATGCACTTCATTTGCACCTTTTGCTTTGTTTTGCTCTTCTTTCCTATGAATTTCTAACTGCACTGGTTACTTTCATTTTAGAGATCTTAGTATAGGTTTAGCCCAATTTCGCTGGTAAGCTGTAGTCGCTCAACCATCTTCCCATCAATGGCAACAAATCCTTTGGAGTGCTTTCTTATAGCCTCCGTAATGCTAGACATATTTTCAACTTATCTCTGGTATGTCCTAAATGTTGCTGCGTTTCGTTGTTTCCTCTACCTATCCTTGTAGTTGCGCATTCTCTCTTCGGATCTGATTTTAACTTTTCATCTCAACTATAGGAGGTTCAAACAGAACAGTACTTTTACGACCAGGAACTAACTCACACGACATGTGACCGCGCACCTCGAAAGCGACACTTCGAAGGAAATCGTGACACATCATTCGAGGAGGCCTCTACTTTCATCGATGGAGCGCCGGGCAGAAAGCGTACTACAGAAACACTGGAAGAAAAACTAGAAAGTAATGTTTATTTTGTGTGGTGTCCATTTTTCTCCCTGACGGGCTGCTTGATGGGTAACAAGTGGGAAATTAGGAGCCCCAGTCACGAACCACTTGTTTTAGTCTCTCCGGCCGCGTATTTCCACACAGATTACCAGCATTACTCAACTGGCCACATCCACCGCTACGGGACTGAACCTTAACTTGGTGCGATGCTTCTACCTTCTTTTCTTGCCGCTACTATTTATGATTATTCTGGCGACGTGAATCGCGGAACTTGGATCCATTGGGCTCGGATCACAGTTGTTTAACCGAACTGAACGCATCTATCTAGCCGTGTGTGCTTATAATTTTCGGCCCCGTAATCTCTTTTGGACCACTGACCATGCCATAGCCGTTTTTATATCCAATGTATGTCGCCTGCATCGCTGTAGTTGTGTGACCATCTACTGTATGTTTCCCTTGATAGCGGTTCACGTAACTTTTCCATACTGGTATTATTCTGCCTTGCTCCGAGGTACCATTCGTATTTTTAGAACATGACCCGGTTTTACGTAATTTCCTGTTTTACTGTCGCCTGCTTTGACTGAGAAGCGGTTCAAGGCAAGCACCGCTGCAAACTTTGGGCCTTCCATTTCTTGGGTGTTATCGTCTCACTTTCTTTTAATGTTTGATGTGAGCAACTGGATATAGTAGTAGTTGGATTTGTTGTCGTCGTTTTTGTTGTTGTTTTTGTTGTTGTTGCAACAGTTTGACGAATAGACATGGCAGTCACTGGAAATATACAGATTTAGTCACCGCACCATCATCATGGCACATTAGCTGAAGGTGAGCAACACGCTTTAGCTACAATGTCGCAAGAAGAACGGAACTCTTACCACTGTTTTATTTTTCTTACTCACCATTTTTTTTCATTTTTTGTCTTTCCAATTTTTAAGCTTTGCTACCAATTCCGAAATCATTGTTTTTGCAGGGGATAAGAACGCAAAAATAGGGCGTCGGTGCCCTAGGTGGTAAGTATGGGCTCAACTCCCAACGGATTGACAACGGCGAGCGTCTTTTGCAACTGTGTGCTGAGCACCAGCTGTAACACTGCTTTCAGACACAATGGGCGCCGAAGTGCCACTTGGCGTCCTCCTGTAGCTGGCCAACAATGGACCCGAATAGATCGCGTCGCCATAAATTCCAGGTGGCCTGCTTTCATCCTGGATTGCCGCTCATTCTGGAGTACTTGCGTCGACTCTGATCATGCCTTGGTACCCTGTCTTTTTTCCATGAACTTTTTCGGAAGGCGCACCAAGCATTTCTTCCGATTGGCAACTGCGAAATCATCCCAGCCGTCGGTCAGACAAGCTTACCTAAGTGCACTGCGTACCGAACTTTCGCCCCGTTGTACTAATGACACTGAACTTCAGTTGAATAGGATCTCGGTTGTCATGCATGACGCAGGAGCATATGCTTGTAGTATAATCAACCGTCATTGCACCAGTCACCGGATATCCGAGACGTCGGTGTACCTGTTGGAATCCAGAAGCAACCCGGCTGGCTCTGAGCACATTGTGATCGGACGGACTATTAGATGAGAACTAAAGCAGAGCCTGCGCGCTGACAAAGAAGCCTGGTGGGCTAGTCGGGCCCGAAAAATGGAGGAGGCATGAACAGTAGGCAATTACCGCAAGCTCTTCCAGCTGATCCGCACCACTGGTCCCAGGAAACCAAGCGTCATTGAGATCATCAGACAGCGCGGGTGCTCTGATTCACAATAAGGGGCGCCATATGAATTGTTGGGCGGAACACTTTCAAGATCAGTACAGTTGGCTCCCCTGCTTCCGAACCTCTTCTTACTTAGCTGATGCGCGATGAGCCATAGACGGTTAGTTTAGAGGCTCCATCGGCGGCTGAGGTCTGGAACGCGATCGCAGCTCTCAATCATTTTATTGCTGCTGGCTCGGATTCCCTCCCACTTGCACTATTTAAGGCTGGATGTGAGGTCCTCTGCAAAGCACTGACCTCCCTTAAAGTTGGACTTGGAGAATCCGTTGTGTGGTTGGGTTGCTACAAGCAACCTCTATTCAGACCTCGGTTCACGTGAGGTGGACCTCGATCATTCCAATCACAAGGACCGTAGATAAAATGGAAACATTATGGTGTTGCTCATCCCAACACTGGCACCCCACGACCGCGGTTTCGTCCTGGTTTGGACTCATACAGCGGATTCTTCAAGTCCAACTTTGAATTCATTTCCGCTGTACCAAGTGTTGCTCGCGGATCTCAGTGGCACAGTGCTTATGGCGTCAATCATGAGCCACTAGACTCCGAGTTCCAGCCCAGCTCAGGCTATCTCCACCTGATGAGTCTAAACCGGGAGGAAACCACGGTCGTGAGGTGCCAATGTTGGGATGAGCAACGCCCCAATATTTCCGTTTCCACTGACCTGCCTGTTCAGACATGTATGGAAGGAGGAGACTATCCCGGCTAACTGGAGTGGAGGGATTCCAGTAGCAATATACAAGAAGGGCAGTTAAACAGATTGTGTTGAACACAGGCGTGTTAACCTGACGTCAGTTGTAACAAAATTACCGATATCGATTTTCCTTCGTCGTCTCACTGCGGAACAAGAATCCCGAATTAGGGAAGAACGCAGATTTCCGGCCTGGACGTGGCGGTATAGACCATATATTCACTCTGCGGCAGGTGCTAGAGCAGCACCACGTATACCGCGGACCGGCAATATCTGTGCTTCTCGGTTTCAAGAGTGCATTCGACTCACTTGATCGATTCATTCTGTCCGAACTAATTACGCGAAAAGGTGTTCCCATGAAATATGTGGACGTCTTGTGTGCTCTATAGTCGTACACTACGGGCCGCGTCAGTTTATACGGTGACCTGTCGGATAGCTTTCTGACAACAAGTGGCGTTCGCCAAGGTTGTCCGATTTCCCCGTTTTTTTGTTTAATTTGTGAACTCCATCATGAAGTGTTCCCTTACGGTGTCTTACGCTACAGGCTTCAAGGTGTTGCCTGGTGAATGACTAGTTGATCTTAATTATGCTGACGATATCTTGCTGTGTAACGATTTTGGGGCGGCCTATGAAACCTGAATAGCCTCTCTAGAGTTCTCCCGTTATTTTCTATGCAACTTGTTGCTGCAAGACCACCAACCACTTAAGGACCCCTTAACTCTTGATAACGAGGAATTCGGGGTAGTTGATCAATTCACTTACTTTAGCAGCTGTATTAGCAACGGTGGGCGCATAGTAACTGAAATCCGTTCACGTATTGCACTAGCCAGCACTGCAGCATTTTTGTCGAAAGGAGTTTCCCTGCATTTGAGAGGCCTTGTTTCCAAGGTCACTGTGGGTGCCGTCCAACTCTATAGGAGTGAGACTTGGTCCCTTCGGTCTGAAGATCTGAGGCTCTTCAAGTCTGATCACCGTTGTCTGCAAAGCATTGCTTGTATCAGATGGCACCAGCGTGTCCTCAATGATGATGTGCGTAGGCGAGTTTTAGGTAGTGATAACACGACTAGTTCCTTGGAACAACTGGTAGCACTGAATAAGTTGCGTTGGCTTGGGCACGTCCTGCGTATGCCAGGTCACTGCTGGCCTAGAGATCCTTGTTTTGTCTGCCAGATGTTGGGTGGCGCAAGGCTCGAGGTGAACAAAAGTTGACTTGGCATCGAGAAATGAAGTCAGTGACTACCAAACTGGGCGCCGGCGTTCCGTCTCGCCTTCCAGGCTAGAGTCCACGTGAGTCGCCTTGTGCTTGGCTGGAGACTTTACAGGACATGGCTCGCAGTCGACACCAGTGTTGCGTCTGTTACCGTCTCCTAATCACACGGTTTAACGTGTGTTTGGTGCTGAGTTATCTGCGGGGTAATGGCTGATTATGACGCGGGGCAGTGAGAGCCGCATGGAAGCAGTTTTGCTGATGTTATCTTTGCACGATAGCGAGCTGTTCGTGGTGGTATGTTGTTGACTAGGTGTAGGCACCTTGATCCTGAATGTTTGCTTACGGTATTAAGGTTTTCAGGTAGGTCGCTTTTTTCCCTCTTACTATTCTTCGTTCCGCAGGTCCTTATGCTTGTAAGGCAGCAAAGCCTACATTCAAATGGCTGATGTACTGCTGTTTATGTTGATGATGATGATGATGAACCATCGGAATCTAAACGAATATTTACACAGGTCTTCTACTGGTTTCGATTGCTTGTCACATCCTGAATTGTATCCAGCGGTCGGCACTGTTCTTCTTTTGGTCCCTAATCAGGCAGACGTGTGGATCCAACGGCAGCAAGACGGGAATTCAACGATTTCATATGCTGACGCCAAGTGGACTGCTGACCGCCGCGTGGTCTCTTCCAGCCAAGCCCTGCACAAGCGAATAGGGCGCGGTGGGGCAAGCGCTCAGCTGACGTACGCAGGACTTGACCGAGCCATGTTAACTGACGCAGTTTGTTGAGGTGAATACTCACATTCCGTAAGACACAACGTCTGGTTTCACTGTTGCAAATACGTTGTTGCCACCATACACGAGCAATCCACCTCAAGCACCCATTGTCGAAGGTCGAGCGCCAGCGCATGTCATCTACTCGAACTGGCCATGACTTGTTTTCATATAGCAACGCCCGAACAATGACATTGTAAACACGACGCTTTGCCACGAGGGAGACGTCCCAAAAACGCCACAAGTGTTTCAGGTTGCCAAACGGTGACCGAGCTTTGGCGATGCGGAGGGAAACTTCCTTCTCAGTATTGTCATTAGCAGGCGCGCAGCTGCCCAGGTAGACAAAGCTATCCATTTGTTCAAGCTGTGGGCACGGGAATGGATGAGTTCCAATTCTGGAGCAGCATTTTACACTTCCATGGGGCAAAGCACATTCCGTACCTAGATGCCTCAATCGGCCAGCGGTCTAGAATGATTTGCATGTTTTATGAGTCGTCATGAAGCAAGGCGATATTATCGGCATAAGCTAAGTCGGTCGGTCGCTTGTCCGATTGTATCTGTGGGCTAAAATGTTCGTAGCCTTCCAAAGCGCTCGGCAAGACGATGAGAGAGATTGGAATTGCTCGGTATTTAATTCGATTCTGAAGGCGGTAACCCGAGTAAGGTGGACAGTTACCGGCTGATTTGCCTAACTGGTTTAGTCGGATTACTTGAAGAGTTCATGAAACAGGGTCTACTACAGCTGCTGGAATCTTAGAAACTGGTACCCACGTAGCAAGACCTTACGAACGTCCGCTCCTGTATCACCAACCTGCTGTTGATGCGGCATCAGTGATTGCAATCGTGAAGTCAGTGAATGTTATCTGCGTTTATTTTACTAAAGCGTTCGACAAAATAAACCATGAGACCCTCCTCAACGGGCGGAGGTTATGCGATGTTGGTGGCTCACCCTACCATTGGATCAGTGACTTCCTTATTGGGCAAAAATACTGGCAACTGATAGATGAACATTTGACGGGTTATTTTCCCTCCACCACTTGGTACTCCAGGGTACAATGCTGGGTCCCATTTTGCTCCTACTTCACTTCAACGAAGTACCTAAGCTTCTTCAGTGGTATTGTTCTTTATTTGCAGATAGTCTGAGGATTGGGAGGGCAAGTGATGTCCCGACGGCTGCGACGTACTTCAGCATGACCTCGACCGTCTGTCTACAGTCACATCGTTATGTATGTGCCTGAGAGAGGGTGGTGTTTGACGTACGTACACTCTTGCCGGCCAAGCGGTACATCCCTCAACTTCCGTGATGTATCTCGGCGTACCCTCACGCTACCATCTGAGACCCGTAGGTAACATGAATAAGCTATATGGAAACGCACTGCACATGCCTTTGGCGTTCAAATGCAGCTTCCGCATTTGATCTGAAGAGATTGGCATTCGTCTTCCATCATAAGACTGATGCCCCAACACGGATCACCCGGGGTGTGGTTCAGAGACGGGAACGTGTTCAGCATGTAGTTATCCGACTCTTGTTCACTTAACTCGTTATTTCGTACGAAGACCGATGCAGGCGACTAAGTCATTACACAATGTCGTATCGTCGGTCTCGAGTGGATCGCCTATTTCATCTGGGTCACTTCCCCATGTACAGGCCACTGCTGTACGTGCGCGCACCAGGCAGTACTCGTGGCCACCGCTACAAGGTAGTGGTGCCGAACATAAAGCAAATATTTCACTCCCTATGCTTCGAGCGGCGAGTGGTGTAGTATTGGAGCAGTTTGCCCGAAAAAATGCCCGAAGCGAAATCAGTGTGAGAATTCAAGCAGTTTCTAGACACCCACTTTGCAGATATCAGGTTTAGGGAGCGCTTCGCACCCGAATAGTCTATGGCACAGCTATAATATGCTGCAAACGCTCAGGGGTCCGTGACGTGATTTCGCGCACCTGCCTGATCTAACCACTTTGGGGCAACACAAATACATATCAACTAGCTCTCTATTCCCAGTGTTCAGTATTCTTGTGTATATTCGACTTTTATCCTGCCTCATTTTTGGATATCTGTCTGCCATTTCGGGAGATACGTAGTTGTACTGCGCCAAATTACTCTTGCTCTTTCTCAGTGCGACTGCTGAAATCCCCCTTAAATCTTTTTTAAACATCTTACGCGGAATCCACTCATTTCCTGTCAAGATAATGACTTTCTTATCCTTGTTCTGTACCATCTTCTCCTTCGAGCACCCGCTTATCAGACTGACTATTTTATTTTTCTCCACGTTAGCTGAGTCTCGTTTTGGCCGCAGCTCTGAGCGTATTGCTACTGACTCACTGGCGCATAAAAAGTCCCATGCCCAATAGTACCGGATGATGGAACGGGCTGGATGACTTCATCTCCCATAACGTGTGTATAAAAAATAGCTCTGGTGATATGTTGATGGTTTACTTGCTATTTATCCACACTGTCACACAGCCAGAAGTGACATGGAGGTGCGTGTCAGACCTTGGAGAGATTACCCTGCATGGAAGCAGGCCCTCTGAAGATGGTTTCATGGGTGGCCGTATGTGGTGTGTTACCATCTCCAATCAGCGTTCACACCAGCATGGCCGTGTGCGCCTGCCTGTCTATCGATTACTCACTCACGGAATGGTCGGCTTCCTTTACTCGATCGATACCCCTTACCCGTTCTGGTCGGAATACACATTTGCACTTTCTGTTATCTTTGCGCCTTTCGGCTAAAAGCTATTATTGCCTTCGCAGACTAGCGTTACTTCCGCATGTGTAGACTTTAACATTGGCGACGGCTTTTATATCTGGAATTATTCGTTATGAGTCAACTTATTCCACCGGATCCATTTTGGAAATAAGCGGCTTCCAAGCCCTCACTTGCAGTTTGGACTCGATGGAAAAAAGCATTCTGTGACTACCTTGGACTCTTCAGGATTACAAATCCTCACATTGCTACTTCTGAACAGCAGTCTGTTAAATTGCTGAGACAACACTTGGATGCGGAGGGTCAGAGGCATTTCGGTGCACTATGGTTGTATGAAAGCACTTACTTATCACATTGTCTGGAATCTCTGGATGGTCTTTGGGGCTTACAACATTATGTGTTTACTGCACGGCTAAATTTTTCCTGACTACGGCAAGGAGACGAAGAAGATGTTGACATTGATGTTGCGATGGTCCACCACCGTTCCCCGCGCCTCGGTGGAATAAGCTGATGGCCCGTTGGGGTAAGCTGCTATGAGCTATAGGTTCGATTACTGGCGGAGGACCAGAGGAATGCGCACCACTGAAGAGCCTTAGTTAGGCGAAACCTACGTCTGGTGCTTTTCCGGATCCTGCCTGGACTAATCTGGCTTGTGAGCAACTGGGCTGGACCAGTAAAATGTCATCCAGAACTCTACTCATAAGTGAATGAATCGGCTCTTGCTAATATTTCAATTGTTCAATCTTTCTGACACATTCAGGCTGTTAATCACCTTAGAAATCTATTTGGAACCCATTGTGTAAAACTCAAACAAGTGTCTGTTTTATGCGACACGTTGATGAGATCACTCAGTTGAACTGTGCCTTGCACCACCGAGGAATAGACCGTTTATTCATTTGAGCGTCTGTTTCATTGAAGTTCGTTTTTGGGTGTACCTGTTTTAACAAATTGTGGTGCATTTCTGGAGCTTAGTTGACACGGTTGCCTTCACTTTATCACCTGGTAATAATGGGAACTAACAAGTTATGCGGAGCGAGATGAAAGCACAGTTAAACTAGTGATCATAATCAGAAGGCTACTGGATTAAATGATTGCAATTTTGCACCAGTGAAATCGTGTGCGATGTCGGAACTGATTCCTGTTAACCTGCGTAGGCTGTCTACTAGTGATTGATTCCAGCAATACGCGTGCACTATCCAGACTAGGCGTATTCTCTAATTCCTTCATTTTCTGTTCCATGTCATCCGTTGCTTGCCTTTGTGGTTAATCAAAACAAAGACGGCCTAGGCAAGAGACACCCGCTGGACCAACTGCTCGGTAGGCAACGTGAAGGTTGGATATTTTCGGTTCTGCAGTTGGGCCATTTCGTGTTTCCTATACGTCCTGTATCAAACACCTACCACTTACCTCTACCTTTTATCTGATCATCAGTCGTCATTATCGTCAACATTACCATCACAGTCATTAATAATAACGATTAATAATGCACCAGTTACTAAACCTGTGTTGATGACGATACGTCACCATTCTGTACCGGTACTTCACTGTCGGAGATCAGCAGTGATGAATTTGCAGATGTAGCATTCGCACTGAGTGTCGAATCTTAACTCCTTAAGTACGAATTCAAGTTCAGCTTGCCTGTACACTGAGAACACAGTACGGTGACGAACCGTTTACAACTATACGGAGACACGGCGACACCACGCAAACAGTCTCCTCTGAATTTTCGCTACCCCGATTCACAATCAGTCACGGATGACTCAGCTGCAGACATACAGTAGGTTCGTCCAGGAGACTACTAGAGCATCATGCTCAGATAAATAGCAAGAATTCCCGTTTTGGAGGCCAAGTGGATCATCGGAACCTATTTTAGATGCGGTTACTATAGAACGCGAAAACTTGTCTTTTGCCAGCGGAACGGAACCCGCCTCAGGAAAACGCAACTAGGTATATTTGTAATGTGTCCGAGTCATCTCACCTTTGTAGTATTTGTTGTTCTAACACAGTAAACTACCCCAATCGCCTATTACTCGACTGCGCACGTCATCGTTATGGATATGCTCTTACCACCCGGTTATTACAATGCTTCGTAGGCGCAGATAGCCAAAGGTCTGTGATATTTAAACTGAGGAAGTCAGGTTTCATTCACGGTCTTCCGATGCAATGCTGTTTTCATGATGTTAATAACCGTAAGCGCTGAATTTCTGATGCCATGACGCCGCATCATTTGAACTGCATCGGTTACACAACTCACTACCGATTTTACTATCCTCGGATTCTTCCACTAGTCTCGTAACAACATTACTCACCAGCGCAATCACGTTCTATCGTTTATCAGCAAGCTTCACGGACACCTTGAACGTTTGTTTATCGCAGTCTATTGTACACGTGAAATGCAGTGTGGAAGAAGACACTGCTCTGAATTTGGTCTCTTAGGCTTTTTTGGGTGTCGGCTTTCAGTCTACTGAGTAATCCATGGGACTCAACTGAAATTGCGCTTACTTTCTCGGAATTAACGACAACGTGAATACCGCCCCACGTTACCTAGACTTAATCTTTTATCGTTTGTTCTCTTAGTGAGATTAAATGCTGATTATTCTGGCTGCTTTTTGACGAATGCATTTTCGTACTTTTCCCCACAGAACCAAGGGAGCAGGCCGCGTGCTGGTTTTGTCTTGGAAACCCTGAAGTGAAAAAACACCTGATTGTTAGCGTGAATACCCAAGCTTATCTGGCACTTCCACGCGGTCCCCTGGTTACCGATCACGTCCTAATTCTCACAGTTGGCCATCATCGAAGCTGGACCGCTTGTCCCGATTACGTACGCGTGGAAATCGAGGACTACAAAGAGAGACTGAAGCGTATGTTCGCCAATGATGGCAAGGCAATGGTTGCGTACGAAAGGAACCTAAAGACGCAGCATTACCAGCTTCAGGTGAGTAGGTCGTTCCCGTCGCTGGCTATCGCATCGCAACCTATGGGTTTTTTAACCACACTTATAGTACACAGGCTAAAATGCACAGCGGCATTTCTTGTTTAGGGAATTGTGTGAATTCATTTTGTGCCCTGAAACCGACCATCCCTGAAGCTGGGTTCCGATTAGATGTATCAACCGTGCTTTTCAACCAAAGTTTGGCTACTCTTTCTGGTGAGTCGTTGCGATTTATCTTCACTGAGTAATAATTCTAGTAGTAATACGTATATTTCTCTTGGTCTGAGAAACTGTCTTTAGCGGCACAGATCAACAGGTACAGAAGCAACTATTCTCTTATACGCTGGATATGCATATGTGCAATATTGTGGCATGTAATTCATGTACTAGCTTTTTGTTGATGGCTCAGGCGAAACTCAAGGTTTGGAAACGTGAGTATTTAGCTCCTTTTTTGGCTGAGGGATCTTTCCCATGTGAATATGGTCGTTGTGTTAATCAGGTCAAGGTAACAGAGTTTGTTACTAAATTTCGCCATATTACCGGATGACCTGAGCTTAATTGGCACTTTATTCCACAGGTACATGTGTCTGAGCATTAAGAAATTTGTGCGCATGCTCGTTCTAGCCTTTGATATTATCAGTATATAATCAGTGTTGAAGTTCAAGTGTGGGCAGATCGGCATAGATCTTTTGTGTGGCAGATTGTAAAGCAGCAACAAGCAATGCTTCAATCGTCGAATCCAGTGTAGTTCAACTTGAAGTCCCATGCAACGCTCTCGATGATTCATTACAAAGTGCTTGGCAATCTGGTGGTTAATAAACAATCTGTGCGACTTTTTCACAGATATTCTCTCGTTTTTTACCACATTTCCGTATATTATGGTGCACTACTCGAGGATGGAGCGGGCCAGTAGCTTGAACACAGATTGTCTCGCACGTGCTACTTGGTATTTGCCTTTTCGGAGAAGTTGGAAGATGGATGAGTACCTGATTTGGAGACCGCACGTGGACAGCTGTATAGGGACATGCTCATTGTTCATTGCAATAGCTCCTTCGGGAATGGAACACCCGCATGACATGATGCTTGATTTCTTAGCCCAGAGGTCCATCACCTGCCTGCTGTAACACGTTTCAAAGGAATATCGTCTTGATTGAGCAGGAGCCTTCCGTGAAGCTCATCACGCCGAAGCTTATAAACGATCTTAATATCGTCGCTGAGTAAAAATGGCCGACTATGTTTTCTTATTTGGTGATATCATTGATGTAGAGCAGGAACAGTGGATGACCAAACACACTCCTTTGGATGACCCCACTAGTGGACAAGAGTGATAGTCACTTAAAAGGACTGCCTGGTGGTGGGCACTCAGGTATGACAATAGCCAACCTAGTACTGGATCCCGGATCCAAAATGCCTCTAACTTTTGTTATTTATTCCATTCCCTCGCATTCTTTCATCTTGAGTTCGGACCCCACCGAGCTACTTCTCTCTAGCGGTTCTTGGTCGACAGGACAGTGCGCCTGCCTTGAAACTCGGAAGTCGCAACTTCGAACTCGCGTTGGGGACCGCGTGACTCTCACAGTAACCTTAACCAACGCACGACTGGTGGTGTTTGTGTTACAGCGAAGCGTCGGTACGACACTGCTCATACTCTTTCTTCTTTCTCTAGCGTTACAGTAAAATTCACCAAATTCGCGTCGGTTTTAAGCTGTAACAATAGTTCAGCTACAGAACAGACTACCACGCCTTCTCCATCTTCCACATTTCGTATTCATTTATCAATCGCCGTTACATGAAGGAGTGGTTAACTCTCCTCGGTCCGTTACAAGTTATATACGTTGAGATTGAGTGTATCTCTTTGCCCCTCCAGCTCCTGTCGCCAAGGCCTGAAAGTGATTTTCCGCGTACGCAACCCCGCTCATGGCGGCCAAATATGTAGTTATCAAAACTCCTACTCACTCACTTTTCAGGTTCACTTTGGACGTGAAGTGTGTGGACTGAGTTTGTGATTGATCTATTTTGGTCGCCTGTGGTCTTCAACAATAGGTACTCGTGTCCTGCGCCCGGTCATAGCTACGAAGACGGAGTAGTTCGGGAACGTCAACCACCAGCCAGTTTATGCTAAAGATTTCTCAGCTTTCGTGAAACTCAGAGGGTAGCTGAACACTTGCCAAAGTGGTCGGGACAAGTGATAATGCGACAAAATGGAGCGGATCCTAGGCTGAACCGGAGCTCCTCGTCATATATCACCAAGTTCCTCATTGCAAATCGTCATCATGTGAATCCGGAAACCGCGTTCAAGATGCTATTGAGCAACAAAAACCGGATTATCTTGGCAGTCAGTTTGGTTTTGCTAACTGGGGCCCATCAATCTGTGGTATCTGGACGGATACTCTTGACTTAGTCAGGTCGCTTTGATCTTGATTATGGCATTTTGATGGGTGTTATTAATTGCTTCATATGTACAATATATGTATATGTGTCCTGCTTGTATTATTTTTGCGACCGATGAGAACGATCGATATGTTGTCATATCGCAACTTGTATTCTCCCTTATTTGATCAAATCGCTATAGGGAACTCAACTGTTTTGCATTTCTGAAAACTAAATGTACTTTGAGGACTTTACACTCAGTGTTTATGCATGTTTTCCCATCTCAGCTTTGATCCTCTTCACATAAACCGTATTGCGGCAGTTTCGAAATCTGATACCCTCATGTTTAATATTGCACATCAGTTTCGTTTTCATACAACATGCATCTGCTGCTTCGAAATTGTTCCATGAGAGTCACTTCATTTGCACTTTGTCATTTTTCTGCTAACACTTTGTTGAACAGCTCTTCTCAGCGAAGCCTTTTTGATCACCCTCTTATTCAACCAGCCACTTCGTTTCGAAACCATCATAACTGTGTACGTCTTTCGCTCTTTAGTGACCCACCTTTAAAGATGCGCTGAAGCAAAGGGCTAACCCGAATAAACTCGTATTACATCAGACAGTGCCCTGTGGCTAAAACTCCCTGTTCTAAATTTCTGTAACATTTCACCTGTTGCCTCACATTCCAGGTTGTCCCCATCCCATTCGCGGTCGCAGGTGAAGTGAAGCACGCATTCCTAGACTTATCCACGAGGTGTGAGACCAGTCCCTGCGTGCTCCAACCGATTCCTCGGAATGCCGAACTGAATGAGGTAGTTGCTTTGCTTGCGTACTTTCCTGTGCATTTTCATTGACCATACTTAAAGCTGTTGCCCCTTACACGTCGAGTATCGGACACACATGTTGATGTGGTCACCATAGGGTTGGGCTGTGTCTCACGCATCGATTATTTGCATTGCATCTCCGTCTTTTATTTACCATACAATCTTCCAGTGATTGTGTTTTCAAACATACGCTTACTGTTAATTGATTGTGGCCCATCGTCTAGCATTTTCTTTCTTGGACCTCTGCCTTTTGGTTCCACTGTTTACTGCAGGAAAGAAAAGAAAACTGATCCCCTGTTTCTCACAAAATCGAAGTCGGCCACATGAATAACCGTCAATTTACTCATTTACTCGCTCTATAATGATAACATACGCTATCAGGGATCATGAGTAGCCTCGGGTTATTAGTAATGCTTGCAACTACTCTCGCACTGATTAAGTCGCCACGTCACCATCAATGGAACTGCAGCCTGTTGCCGTAGCGCCAATGCAGACACTTATCTTGGGGCCCACATCAACACCCCAATGTAAGCCGTGAACTTGCTTGGCTCTGGTTATGTAGCCAGACAACGTGCTATCAACCACTTGTCTCTCGACTCACTACACAGGTCGACTTATTCCCATTAACTGAAATTCTCCATCTGATGTTCGCTAGTTCACTTTCATCACAGGCTGAATGGCACGGCGCGGCTATCTTACAAAGTGCATTTTGTACGAACACCTGGCTGCGAGCCAACTTACAGAATGAAAGATATCAGATGTTGTTCATCGTTCAACATTATACCTTTTCTCAGTCAATTACATCCCTAGCGCTTTCAAGCTCTTCCCCAAGGAAATGACATCTCACTCAAGATGGTCCTTATTGTCGCAGAACTCGATCCTACAGCGACAAACAGTTTATTCGACAAAGCAGACTCAGCAGATATGACAACATAATTAGATAGCAAAAGCCTCGATGTGAATAACAAGGTCATTCCCATAACTAACGACGTTTTTGCATTCATGTGTTTCTTCCCTTGGATCAGTCAAACTCACTCCAGCGCTGCCAAACACGAACCAATCAGCGTATAGACGTAGATGCTAGGCGTCCAATTATCTGCTTCGTTCGCTTGCTTCGTCATGTAATAATAAAAATAATAATGTGTCAACTGTACGCCGTAACGGCGCTTCACTGATGCGCGACCACCACTAGCGAGGACACCCACCCATACGCGGATTCGAACCGGTGACCTTATGATTGTAAGCCAGGCGTGCAGACCACTCAGCCACTGGCCGACGCTTCGTCATGTAGACCCGTACAGTTCTTCTGCTTGCATAATCCCATCACATCCTTCCCTTTTTCGTAATCAGCCGCATCGATGTCACTGATGACTCCGTACGCTCTTCCTCTCCGCGTGGTTGTTGCTGCCCCTGTCGTTGTGACCTCACCGAAAACCATCGCCTCGCCTCAGGTTCATCTCATTCTCGGTGTCACTCCAGCTGCACTCGGTTCCTTCTGATTATTTTCACTCCAGTATTGACTTCATAAGATCTTTCTCTGACCTTCGCGGTCACCACACCTTTCTTTCATCGCTCCTTGACACCTGGCATTGGTTGAATCCATACTTCCTCGTTTACTGATAGCTCAGGTAGCGCCCGGCTACCGTGGTCGTAATACCGTTTCTGATCTGCTACCCGTTTTCTTAAATTCCTTTACAGTTGCTCATGAGACGGCATGACCAGGTGTGAAACTTCAATCGACGCAGGCATTAGGATACTTGTCTCTATGCTGTATAGATGTTGAATTGGACTGAGACCTTATTCCATTGATGATGTTTCGAATTTCTAACAGCATCAGATATGCATCCTCACTAGTAGTACTAGTCTTCGACAACACCTTGGCTTGTTTGACCGCAACCTCTGCTTTTCCGTTAGACTTGCTGTGATACGAGCTGGTTGATGTATGCGAAATTCCCAGTTGTTCACGAAGGTCTGGAACGCAGCACTTGCAAATTGCAGGCCATTGTCGGAGATCAGTTCTTCCGGTATTCCGTGTCTAACTAACTGATCTATAAGCTTATTGATCACTGCTTCCGCGGTGAATGGAGCAATCTCGACATAGTCATTGTTGTAGTCCAGTGCGATTATGCTGTCTTTCTTGTTGTCACAGAACAAGTTAACTGCTACTTTCTACCATGGTCGATCTGGAATCTCAGGTAGCATCATTGATTCTTTGGATTGGCTAGCCTCTTGCGACCGGTAGGCTGAACAGCTTGCTACTTGATCTCGAACACCTGCTCTGCTAGTACTTTAGTTAGCACCGAAATGGGCTCGATAAGCGTGTTCTAGTATGGTTTTGGAAAGCGACGGTGGCATCAAAACGATTTTCCTTTGAACAACAAACCGTCATACACTGTGAGTTCATCCCGAAAGTGGAAGAATGACGTTAATTCCTTCGGAAGTTTGTCCTTTCTATCTGGCTATCCACTCAAAATCACTTCTGGCAACGCCTTGCAAGTCGCGTCTGCCTGCGTATGACGCCCTATATCTTTCAGACAATCTGCCGTTACCGCTCGATCCTGTAGCAGGTTTACTGCCTCGATTTATTCCTGTTGGTGCTCGACTATCGAAAGATGAGCTCTCGACAGAGCGTCCGCGATGAAAATCTGCATCTCTGGGGTGTACACAAAATCGTCGTGTTTTTGGATCCGGGTAAGTATTTGTTGAAGACGTCGAGGAACACTGTGTAATACTTAACTGGCTATTGATACAAGCGGATTATGGTCAGTTTACACGGTAGTCTTCCTCCTAAAGGTGTAATTGTTGAATCGTTCCACCACACTTACCGCCGTCAAATTGCGTCCAACGGGCGCGAGCGCCCCTAGATATTCCTGTTCATTGTGTGACCAATCCCGTACCGTCGAACGACATCCCACTCTGTGTGCCCATCTGTTATAATATCGGCTGACTAGGAGTTCGTCACTTAACAAACAGTACGCATTTTTAGTAGAGTATGTGCCCGTTAGATGCGACTTTATAGGGTTAAAGACCATCTTGTGAGATCTGTGGATAAACCTGATTTCCATACGGAGGCATTTTAAAGTCTTATTGATGCAATTGGCTGAGAAAGGGTATAGGGTGGGTGATACTCGATACATTGTGTGCTAAGGTTTCCAACTGTTGGTTGTAGCAGACATTTGCATTGTGTGGAAAATTCCCCTACAACTTATCCTGGGTTGTCATTTGGGCAGTGCTTTCCAGTTCACCCAATGGCTTTTCTTCCCGACTGCGAGAACCGTTCTTAAACTGGACCATATCCTCACAAAACTCGGATGTTTGATCACCCCGCCCCCTTGCACTTGCATTGCTCATTGTTCAACTCTGTACTCCTGCTGCCTTGTCTGTTGGTTCGCCGCTTGCTTATACGTTCACACACCTGCAACAATGCTCGGCCTCATCTCATTTTGTTTCGTTTATATCAGATGCTTCATGCGCCTTGTTTGATGTCACATTGTTATCACCTTTTCTTAGCGATATGCAGGAGCTAATCCACTTGACTGTTAGATTCTGTTTGGATGTGTATGTGCTCCGCCTCCACACCGTGATTGGACGGTCAATGATTGTTCGCCGTGAATTTGCTAGTTTCACCAATTTGTCATGTGTTCACTTGTTCTTTGGCCGTCTGCTTTGAATGGTGGTTTCGAGAGTTGATTTTTCCTCCCCACCCGTTTAATTGCATTCAGTTGTTTTCGGTTATATGCTGGGATCCTGAACGATTGAGGTTTACCCAACTCCCATGATTTTATATTTGCGATACAAACATTTTCTGGATTCGGGCACTTTGGCCACGCGTCACTCAACTTTAGTCCAGTAGTGGTCTAGGTTTCGTTAGAATCCTGAGTACCGTTTTTTTCCAGACTCCTTCAGCTCGTAGTTTTCCTCACAGCTAGCCCGTATGTGCGTATTTTAGCCCACCGAGTTGATGCACTCGTTACTTTCCCCTGTTTTACTCTCTTCTTACTCCGTCCGTATCACCGTTTGTAGGTATCTACCATCTATGCAGTCGCCTATTACCAGTTTTAAAGCCAATTATTAGCACGGCTGTTATTGGCGCCTGGTTTGGGGCTGCCGAGGGCTACTTTGTTCCTCATCGCCCCACTAAAGCTGCACTGAAACCGCACATTTAGTTCAACTTTATCTCCTAATGATTGGTCAGGTCATGTTGCGGTTGATGCGAGGTTGTCTACTTGTCCGATGCTGCTGCTCTAATTGTACTGGCTCCATGACACTAATGCGTGCTGCTGAATCTTGGATCCAGTCTTTGTGAGATTGTCGGCTCCACAGTCTGGTTTCGTCGTAGAAAGCATTGTGATCTGGCTGATGTTTTTCTGACTTTTCATACGTTTACCCCGATACAACTCGTGTTGTGGGAGTATTAGCTGGTTCAAAATCAGTCGTTGTTCCCATCCGCACACATTTTGGCGTACCCTAGATCTAGAGCATCTGGCGATTCTATGTATAGTGCGGCTGAAGCAATCTGTTGTCCCTCAGCTTTGGCGTCATGTGGTTGTTCACCTTCACTGGCAGCTAGGTCTGGAGTTGGTGTCACCAACGCACCCTACAACCCATAAAATTTTACTTCTCATTCTTTGCGTACTTCAGTGCTAATTACCCATATCTACCAAGCCTTCGATGCAGCAATCTGTGAGACTTGGTTTACTCCACAGATGGCCCTGAGTCGACACATCTTATGGTTTTGCTTGCTTAAATGAAGATGTTCATTGTGGCGCATTGTACGATCTCCACTCACTAGCTAATATTTTTCACATTGGGAATCATCTTGCATCGCTTGATGCGCCGAACCAGGGGCAACAAGAACATCAGCATCAGTACTGGTATTTAGTTGTTTGACTCTAGTTCCATAAGCAGACATTCAGGAGTAATGGGCCTTCATTTTGTGGACAACCGCAAATGACCAGCTATCCTATGAGAATAAAACGATTAACGATACCCCACAAGCAGCTCAGCATACTAACTAATTTAACACGCAACCCGATCATCAGCTGACAGTACGCGAGGAACTGGTATCAGCTGTGAGCCGTCTTGTAAAGTCTTGAGTCAAACACATAGTCGGTCACGTGGGCCTCAGTCTGGAAGAAAAAATTGACTAACAATATTCATTTAAACCATCATTGTCTCCATTTCCGCTACCAAATTACCGATTGCTCCTCTCGCCGAAATCTTATCAATTATCCATCCGGTAAACAAATAACGCTTTCCTCAGTAAGCCGGCACTTAGCCTTAAGGATCACAAGCCTGCCTCGTAATCCGAAGGCACGGGTTCGAGCCTATGTAGGGACCTGGCGACCCTTGTAGTATCCTTAGTCCACGTGCGACTGGTGGTGGTTACGCGGCAGCGAAGCGTCATTACTGCGCGCCGACGTACTGCTGATGTCGCCTAGGTAAGCGCTGAGCGGACACAAAACATGTACCTAAAGCAAAGCAACTTATTTAGACTCATTTGTTAATTTAACACATTGACATGATGACCATCCTCAGGCACTCGTGTGAACATTTCATTGTTTGGTGCACGGAACACCACCCGACGCCAACACTGTTCCGTAGACAATGACGATCAGTGACTTGATGTCACCGAAGATCCTCCTTCAAGAGGCTGTGTTTCACTACTGTCCAGCGGAACGACCTCCATTGTGGTCCTGTAAACGTGCACTTCAACGGGAAGTAGAGTCCCCTTGTAATGCCAAAGTGCCGCCGAATTATGGAAGCAGATCCAGCTTTCAAAATCAGATAGATGCATTTCATGTTGATCAGGGCAATTTTTTGCACTCAGCTAATGTTATTTTTGTTATTTTTCCTTACTCATCCCATTGTCCTGCGTTGCGTTTTCCGATCGTTGAATTGGTTTCTCTAATTGTTTCCTTTCTAGATATGCGCCCCAGGTATTCCGTACTTCCACGTTGAACTGCCTACCGGTGAACGACTTTTTGGGCAAATTAAGAGGGACCGCATTCCTACGAGTGATATTCATTTTGGAAGGTAGGTTTTCCTTTTTCCACCCCCCTCGTTTCCGCTACGGCGTATCGATGTTTCATGCCCCTTCCTACACATGAGAACAGTATGCTCAGTATCTCATTAACTGCCCTAACTACGAGGGGCTGCAGATAACTTCCTGGCTTTAATTAGGATGAAGAGTGCTAGTCATAAGATGATGCATTCCTTTGACATATTTACTCCTGAGTCTGATGCATTGGATATAGCATATTCGCAGTTTTTCTGGACCGGTCAGGTAGAAGTCATTTGATTATGTTTCAGAGCAACTGTCAGCAGCATGGTTGATATCAGAAATATCTTTAAACGTTGCTCCTTCGAATGTTTCTTCAAGTTCTGAAGGAGATAATAGTCTGACGGAGCCAGATCAGCTGAGTACGGAGGTGGTGGACTAATTGGAACCCCAAGGTGCTCAATTTGGCAGCCTCAACTCATTTCTGTTCGGGATCGCTGGTCAAAATTTCGGCATCCACTTAGCTGAGTGCTGACGCGTGTTTAGGATAGTCGAGGTAAACCCAACATTCTCCGTTGAGATGTTCCCTACCCGAGCATTCTTTTTAGTGGATATTCGCCGGTCGGTAATAATCAGTTCATGGACAGCATTGCACGCTGCTGGTTGTGATGAGATTTGGAGGCGCCCACTGCGGTGCTGAACTTGAATGTTGAAAGGACCAGCTTTTGACAGTGCTGTAGGCAGGACACTTCTCCCACGGTGTTCGTAGCATCTCTTGTGTTTCCTTCGCCTACCTTTTCTGGAGACAAACTCTTCGTGATGGCCCGTTACTCAAACGACGTTAAACTGGCTTCTGTGTCTGCCATCACAGCTTCCACCCGACAATAACCGATTTGCTGGAGTCACATGGGTACAAGTACTATGCCCAGTCGTACCTCGTTTTGAACTGAAATCAGTGCAACAGTTGCTCGTTTTTCGCTGCGGATCTTCCTTACTTTCGAAATTCATTAGTTATTGATGATGACCTCTACAACCCGACTGGTTAGATCTGTGCGCAAGAGACAGCTAAGTGACTATTGCTGAGACATTTATAACATCCTTTCTTCTGTTTCATTAGTTCCCGTCTATCAGGCACTCTTAAGACTAGAAACTCGGCACATCGTGGTACCGTGTGTACCGCCACAAACTAAGCAAGATGGTTTCGTTTCTACTTTGGATTTCGCACAGTACTTGTTGTTAGCCTCATTTCTCCTGCGTACTGAGATTGCCGGACCTCGGAAACCGGACAGTCTTGTGCACTAATACTATTTATCCGTATCTACTATGCATAATACGGGCTTCAGAAGAGACGAAATCAGATAAGTCCTTAGACGTGATTTCTTTCCTTTCTTGTAAGATGTTGTCCGCTGTATGCGCCCATCTTATTTTCGTGCTAGCATGCAAGACCCATGCCATTCTCGCGATTGTTGCAATCGAATCAGGGTCAGAGCTATGTCACAATTCTCCACTTTCAAGGAGAGACGAGAATTGGCTTCAGCGTTTTGGTTAGGTGGCTTTAAATCCCTCAGTAATCCAATAATGAGCGACTCGATAACCGCATAACTCTGGCCAAACAAATCGTGAAGGATCGGTCTAGCTTGGATGTAGGCCTGGTGTGCACGCAACATAACACACTCGCTGATAGCTTCGTTCACCCGGTTTCGACAATGAAACAACAAATGTGGAAGGCACTGCTAGTATCCTCTACCGGCTCGATAAAATAATCATCATCATTACACGTTAGCTGGAGGTGGAAAACACCTCAGCTATTGTGCCGCAATACAAAATAAAAGAAAAGGAAAACAGTGGCACGCCCGCTGAGTCCCCAGTAACGGATGGACATCGTTCCGGAGAGCTAACAGCTGGCTGCCGTAAAAAGAGAATCATATTATGCCTAACAGGTGAGATCGTGATTGGAGGGGGATACTAAACAGGAGGGGGATGGGCAAAGGAAATCACAACACAAACGCCATTGATGCCGGCTCCTAGCCATACCAGCAAGTGTGTCCAACCAAACGTGTTCACCGTCCTTAGGACCCAAGCCAGGCAGTCGGGATGCACCAACCGACGCCAACTTCGAAGTGAGGGTTTTCATTTCTCTCGACCAAGTCATCACTTGGCCTCCCATCCTCCTCTTCCAACCGCACCCACAACGCGCAAACAATGCACGTCGCGGGAGTCGGTGTGCTGGCATGCGCAACACGTGGCCCAGCCATCGGAGCCTGGTGCGTGATATCATGGTGCTGAGCGGTTCACTCGCTCTTCCTGCACCAAATACGTGACGTCGAACACGCTCATTGCTCACGCGGTGTTCCCACCAGACATGAGCTAAGCTGCGAAGGCACCGATGATCGAATGTGACGAGTCTCTTCATGTCAGTCAACCTGATGGGCCAGGTTTCACAACCATTTAAGAGAGTAGAACGGACGGCTGCGTTGTAAACTCTGCCTTTCAGGGCGAGAGTAATGTCGCGTCTGCGCCACAGGTGGCGGAGATTGGCAAAAGCACCTCGAGCTTTTGCTATGCGGTTCGTCATCTCATCTTCAATCCCATGGGTGCTAATATAGCTGCCCAGGTACTTGAATTCCTGAACGACTTCTAGCAGATCACCACCAAGCGTTAGCACAGGGTTGGGTTCCTGCCAATCTTGGAGAAGTACTTTGCATTTCGATGGAGCAAAGCATGGCCTAAAACGATTGACAGCCAGTGCTAATCGGTCCAGTGCTCTTTGGCATGTTTGGAGGCTGTCACAGATTAGGGCAATATCGTCCGCATACTCCAAGTCAAGAAGTCGCTCACCAGGAAGTAGCTCCACACCATCTAGGTCGTGTCCAGCGAACGCTGTTTCTATGACTTCATCAATAGCGAAGTTGAAGAGGAAAGGTGACAGCGGGCATCCTTGTCTCACGCCGCTGGTGATACTGAAGGGTGGCGAGAGTTTGCCATAAACCCTCACCCTGCCCGAACTATGCGCGTACAGCGCTTTGATAATGTTTCCATATTTATCAGGCACACCTTTCCTCAACAGACAGTCCCAAAGGGCACATCGATCGACCGAATTGAAGGCACCTTTTATGTCCAAAAGCACGACAACGGTGGGTCGCCAATAAACATGGCGGTGCTCCAATAATTGACGCAATGTGAAGATGTGGTCGATGCAGCCCCGACCTCGACGAAATCCGGCTTGCTCTTTATGAATCTGGCTTTCACGAGTGCCAGTCAGTCTGTGGAGAATGACAGAGGCAAGAAATTTAGAGGCAATCGAAATCAGACTGATCCCTCTATGATTGCCACATTTCAAACGAGAGCCTCCCTTGAAAATTGGGACAATGACGGAGCGGTTCCAGTCTGTCGGGACTGTCTCCTGCTCCCAAAGTCTTACTAGCAACTCGTGTAGATCATCTACTAAAGCAGTCCCCCCGAATTTGAAGAGGGCTGGGGGAATTCTATCTGCTCCTGAGGACTTATGCAATTTCAACAGCCGGATCTCACGTTCGACCTCTGCGCGTAAGGGCGGATCCGAGGAAACGGCCCAAGGAGAAGGGCGCTCAATTCCCGAAGAAGAAAGCGATAACTTAGGTTGGTTAAATTGCCTTGCAAAGTGTTCGGCCCAACGCTCCAAGCGTTTTGACAAGCTGTGGATCGGCTGCCCACTCTCGTCGCGTATGGCCTCGCTAACACCAGGTCTCCTGCTGCCTGTTTCCCGTATCAGACGGAATAACTTACGATGATTACCAATGGCAGCGGCTATTTCCATCTCAGAAGCACGATGAGACCACCAGGTTTCGCGGTCCTTCCTAAGGCTAGCACTTAGTTTTGCCCTGAGATTTTTGCGAGCCTCATTGTATTCGCTTCCAGCCGGAATATGTCAGCGAGCATCCATAAGTTCCATAGACTGTGTAGAGACCCAGTGTCCGGTTTGGCAATTTGCTTTGCCACATGAAGACATTGCCTGCGGACAGTAACGTTTGCCGAATATGCGACCAGTGATCTTCAACGGTGTTTAGTGGGCGCTTACCCAGCCCAGATCGCAGCGCACTATGGTATACATTCAGAACATCTGGCTTCGCCAGCTGGCTGATGTCAATCCGTTCACCTCGACGTTGCGGACGTCCACCGAAACGCACCCGGAGGTCGGCACAGACAAGTGCGTGATCTGAGTTTACGCTCGTGCTCCAAATTGAGCGACAATTTTGGACACAGCCCCTCCAGCGGTAACTGATCGCGATATGATCGATTTGCGTCCATGGTTGACCCGAGGCTAATGGCCGCCAAGTCACGCTTCTGCGGGTGCTGTGTCGGAAGTTAGTGCTCGCGAGAAAGAGGCGAGCATCTTCACACAGATGTAGCAATCGCTCACCATTATCATTACGGGAGCCTACACCATGTTGACCGCCCAGATGAAGCTCATCAGAGGACAACTTTCCGACTTGGGCGTTTAGATCACCAGCCAACACCACAGTATCCGTGCTTCTTCTGTAACGAAGTAGCTCGTGAAGTTGCTGATAGAAATCATCTTTTACCGAATCAGTGCTACAGTTAGTAGGGGCGTAAGCCGCAATGATAAACAGGCACCGTTTGTCCCCGCGCGACTTCATAGTACGGAAGGAACCAGTTAATCTAACGGCACACATTCTACTGTTTACTGGGATCCAATCAACCAGGGCAGCTTCAGCCCGGGCACTCAAAACAATGCCGACGCCAGCTTGACTGGCATTTGAAGCTGCAACATCGCCAGACAGGCGCAATGAGAATGTGCCGCCAGTGTCGCATGTGGGGGATCTCAGGGTAAGTACGGAGCTCGAATCTTGCAGGCGGGTTTCTGATAAACAGCAAATATCGATCGATAGGGTCTCTAGTGTGCGAGCAAGTGCTGCCTGTTGGCCAATGTGCAGCAAAGTGCGCACGTTGAAGCATGCCAGTCTTAGCGAGACGCGAGGACTCCAAAGGGAAACGGATGAACTGACGTTGTCCGCTTGCTTGAATATGGACTTGT